AGTTCTCACCGATCTCTTTGCCTTCTTTCCTCCCTGACGTACATTCATACACATAGTTCACACCGATCGCTTTGCCTTATTTTCTCTCTCGCGCACATTCATACACATAGTTCACACCGATATCTTTGCCTTCTTTCCTCTCTCACACACATTCATACACATAGTTCACACCGATCTCTTCTACCTTCTTTCCTCTCTCACGCACATTCATACACAATGTTCTCACCGATCTCTTTGTCTTCTTTTCTCTCTCACGCAAATTCATACACATAGTTCTCACCGATCTCTTTGTCTTCTTTCCTCTCTCACGCACATTCATACACATAGTTCACACCGATCTCTTCTGTCTTCTTTCCTCTCTCACGCACATTCATACACATAGTTCACACCGATCTCTTTGCCTTCTTTCCTCTCTCACGCACATTCATACACATAGTTCACACCGATCTCTTCTACCTTCTTTCCTCTCTCACGCACATTCATACACATAGTTCTCACCGATCTCTTTGTCTTCTTTTCTCTCTCACGCACATTCATACACATAGTTCTCACCGATCTCTTTGCCTTCTTTCTTCTCTCACGCACATTCATACACATAGTTCACACCGATCTCTTTGCCTTCTTTCCTCTCTCACACACATTCATACACATAGTTCACACCGATCTCTTCTGTCTTCTTTCCTCTCTCACGCACATTCATACACATAGTTCTCAAAGCCTCACCACTGTCTTAAATGGGCGACTGCTAGCAACATCAGCTACTACGTCTAGCTACATTGGTGCTCGTACATAGACAACATCATTAGCACCAGCGCCGTCGTTAGTAGGTGACTTAGGTAACCGTCACAGAAAACAGTTCCTTGCTCCACTCCAACACATGCACCCATTACCGTTAGAGATACCAGATACGGCTTACAGTCTGCAGTGCCCACAACAAATACTATAGGTACAGCAAGCAACATTGACACATGGACGAGAAACACTCGGAGATAAGTGATAATGCACAAGTTACACAGGATACATGCAAGCTGGTGGTCCGACAGGTTGTGCTCAAGAGACCCAACATATCTTGCAAACAGCCGACCCGCTAGTCATCAACCTCATCTTTATCGTCTTTATTATTACCATCCTCGCCACGATGATAACGACAGAATGTATGTCTGTCCTTTAAATAGATATGATGTTTTCTACAGTGACGTCAAACTGTCAGGCGACTTGCATGATATCTCAGGCCCGTAAAACTTAAAAGAATGGAGTTAACTACTGTACTGAGGTGGGGAGGGTGCATGTGCAAAGATCGATCACTGGAGTATACAAAAGCAGGTGGAAAACAAAAAGGGAGTGGGGGGGGGGGGGGGGGGGGGGCAAATAGAATTAGAAACATGTGCAAACGTGGTGTAAAATAAAATCTGGATTATACGTACCGCTTTGAGCGAGAACTAGAAATAACAATAATATTGACAACAACAGTTTGGTAATCTGTGACGGGGTAGGATTTGTTATGTCAACATCAAAATGGCTTGATAGTTGAAAACTGAACACATATAGTTAATGAAATTTATGTTGCTATGTACACTAATATTTGTGTAGTAAAGTAAAATAGCATGCTACAACAGGGCCATAAATGTGACAACATTATTTTACAGCAGGGCCCTAAATGTGACAAAATCATGTATTTTCAGTCTTCCTGCTGTTTCTCTGCCGCCGTCAGGTTCTTTAACAAGACAATGTGTTTTTAACAACTATTGTCAGTTGTTGTTTTTATCGTTAAAACACAAAAAGCGCTACAAGTCAGATCCGTTCTATAGAGAACCAACGTTAGACAGGTGCCAGAATGGAGGTGCCAGAATGGAGGTGCCAGAATGGAATCTGCTTCAAGTGACATCTGCAACTGATGACAGTGATGACATTATGCAATGGTGGTGATGGAAATGGTGATGTTGGTGAATAAAGGACATCTAGCAGGTAGATCCTGACGGTCTACACCTGGGATATACTGTAGGCATTTCCTGACGGTCTACACCTGGGATATAGTGTAGGCATTTCCTGACGGTCTACACCTGGGATATACTGTAGGCATTTCCTGACGGTCTACACCTGGGATATACTGTAGGCATTTCCTGACGGTCTACACCTGGGATATACCATGGCAAACTGCTAAAGGTGAAATATAATAGTAAAACCACACAAAAGCCGATGTATTTGGGGATTTACTGAAAGTAAAATATCCAAGTGAAACCATACAATGTATTTGTGGGTGAACTAAATGTGACCTTGCCTATAGTCTGCACACAACAGCCAAATCTTTCAAGGGCTGGCTTACAGGTCAGTAGAGGAGATGTACACACATTTGCATAAAAAGGAAGAGAGCTTTGGGTGAGTTGCATGATATGATAAAGAACAGGACGATGTAGCATGAGCTAAAAGTTGTTCTCCGCCAGGAATAAAGTACACAAGTGAATAACGGTAACTCAAGGAACAGAGACATCTCCAGATGCATATTAGCAAATCTGGGCAGTAGAGTTTGACCGATAAGGCAGACAGTTCAATGTCAGGTGATAGCAGACATCCACACATCTGAACTTCGGCTGATGGCGAGCTAGCTCGCGTGGGGTGGTCTCTAGTGCAATGGTGTTCATTGTCAACATAGTCGTGACGGACATGAGATCAAGACAACCAATGATCAGACAGAGCCTTTTTTAAGTGATTCGCTGTGCCGCATGTGGTGCTTGTCGTCATGGTGACGGAGGTAACTTGCATGGGATTGGCTGCCTCATTCCGCAGAAGACAAATGTGAATATTACGACTAGATGTGTCATGTTCATGATTCAAGTTTTGGAACATTGAAACACAAGCTTATATGGTTATCATAATAGTTAAATCATTTGCTCAACTGGCGCTACATTGGACACTTTCTGAGAAAATACGAAGAGAATATCCGCAAACGGGCACTGCAATGTGAAATAGAGGGACAGAGAAACAAGAGGATGTCCAAAAGAAACCATAAGGCGGACGTTGATGCGAAGAAGCCAAAGGTGCCTGACTGGATTCCATCCATAATATGGAAGGGATTGAACAGGACAGAACGGAGCAGAGAAAAGAAATGCGAGCCGCACGTCACATATAATTGTCCAACAGGACAGAGCATGAATGAATGAAATTGTTGCGTCCTTTAAAAGAACTCAGAGACGGTGAATATTCATATACTTGAATATAGACACGGTCTATGTACACACACGGTCTATGTACACACACGGTCTATGTACACACACGGTCTATGTACACACACGGTCTATGTACACACACGGTCTATGTACACACACGGTCTATGTACACACACGGTCTATGTACACACACTGTCTATGTACACACACGGTCTATGTACACACACGGTCTATGTACACACACTGTCTATGTACACACACGGTCTATGTATACACACGGTCTATGTACACACACTTGAGCATAGACACAGCAGACGTTATGGATATCAACATAAAGCATTCCGGTTATGAATGTTACAGAAACAACAATAGGATACATCACACATAAATACATTCTATATTATGAAAATTATATTGTCTACTTAGGGATATATGAGAAACAAGGACTAAATATGTAGTATATTGACGAAATAGATTGCTATAAGCGGGACATATCTAAAATATATGCATGTATTGGCATACAAAACCATTTATTGCTGCACATAAACACTTCATAGATACCGTTTTGGTATATGCGAGATAGTGTAATAACATTCAGTTTCTTTGTTTGATTTGTATTGCTTGTATAACCTAGACTTCAGCTGCTATATTATTGCGTGCAGCGTTTCATTGGCCAAGCAACAACGTATCGTCTGCATGACATTGAGAAATTATGTTGGAAATAGCCGCCGCTCCACCAAGGCCCACGTGTGAAAAGCCATGGCCAGATCCAGCAGTAAAACCGAACAGGTCTACGGAAATTCCCGTTTTGTTAGTCCGGTCCACGGAAGGTCTGTGCTCACCATTGTTATCGAGTAAGTTTATACATACATTAAATTACATTTTAATTAAATTGCAACATATTTTATTGAATGAATTATCGTTATAAAGATAAATAAGTGAGCCATTAAAAATAGAATAATAATAAAAATTAAATATTCAATAACATATATTGCAAGTTAATTTGGAAATGTGTCAAGTTCCTAGTGTGTGGAGCTGTCCAAATGTGATTGTATGGAAGAAAAATGATGATGATACAATGTGACAGGTTTTACAGCATGAAATCATAGTCTGGGCACATACTGAGGCTTGACATGAATGACAGTACACAAAACAGAGGGATGTTGACAGATATGATGACCAACCCAACATGACATGAATGACAGTACACAAAACAGAGCGATGTGGACAGATATGATGACCAACCCAACATGACATGAATGACAGTACACAAAACAGATGGATGTTGACAGATATGATGACTAGCCCAACATGACGTGAACTTAAAAGAAACATCCATGTGTGTACCCAGTGGCCTCTAGCGCAGTATTGGCGGGGAGGGGGGTGGATATCGATGTTTGAACGTTCACTATTGTTTATCAGACACGTCCTCTAACCACAGGGGCTATAGCGGCTCTGGTCAAGTCAAGGATATTTTTAGTGAACTGGGCATATGATGCTAGAGTTGTGGGGTTTATAGCGGACGCCATGTTTGTGCTTACAATGCCTGCCTGTGTTTTTTATAGAGGATAGTAGTAGTCGGTGAGTAATGCGGTCAGTCTTCCCCTGTCCATCTTGACTTCCCTGGAGGATACCTGGTACCTATTTTAGCAGACTTGCTCGGCAATATAGCCTGGCCTAGCTACAGAACATCTGCGTTCATTTTCTCGGTGCTAGACCCGGTGTGCAAGTGTGTTAGCCACTCGGCCATCACAGCCAAAATAAACAGTCATACATAAAACAAGGAAACACGTTTATTTCCAGAAAAAACAAATAATCGTTTGAAGGTCGACTCACGTGACAGCAGCACTGGACTTGTTCTCTCGCATGTTGTTGCACGTGGCTCCAGGGTTCTCCTGACAGATCATCTCCACCATGACATTCTGAAGGACGTCAGAGTTTGTCCCGTGAAATGTCAGGTCAAGGCGAGAACGTAGATATTTATCAAACGAACATGACAATGAACTCAACACTAAAACTGCTGGTGATCTTGCAATGACGTGATTAAATAAGAGAAAACCCGGTCCCTATCAATTTGCTTTCATAAAAATGAAGTAAAGAACATACATTAAAAAAAAAAAAACATTTTATAAATACAAATTCAACAATAAAGACACAAGAGTCTACCGGGACACAGAGTCAGATAAACACACCACGAAGAGACCAGTTTACTGATACCCGGAGTCAGCTAAACACACCATGAAGAATAAGTTTATTGAGGCACTAAGTCAGCTAAATCAGGAAGGTATAAGTTTACCGAAACATTGAGCCAGCTAAATCAGGAAGGTATAAGTTTACCGAAACATTGAGCCAGCTAAATCAGGAAGGTATAAGTTTACCGAAACATTGAGTCAGCTAAATCATAAAGAGACCAGTTTACTGAGACGTTGATTGAGATAAAAAAAATTATGAAGAGACTAGTTTACTGATACATTGTCAGCTAAATACATCATAAAGGACCAGATTACAGAGATACTAAGTCAGCTAAATCATAAGGGGACCAGTTTACTGAGACACAGAGTCAGCTAAATACTTCATGGAGAGACGAGTTTGCTGAGACAATAAGTAAGATAAGCACACCATGAAGAGACCAGTTTACTGAGACACTGAGGGAGATAAACACATCAAGATGGGACCAGTTTACTGAGACACTGAGTACACTGAGATAAATCTGTTCCCAGATTTAAACCAAAGTGATCACCTGAGGAAATGACATATAAAACCAACGTGGTATAAATATGGGTACCTGGGTATGTCAACACGTGGATAGACATATCGATGTTTGTTTGTTTGTTTTAGTATCCAGAAGCTATGAGTTGTTAACCCTTAGGCTCGGTATTATGGATATCGCAACCTTTCGGCCCTGATTCCATTGTAAATACCGTAAATCTGGGAGAAAATGTGGCTTTTCTGCCTACCCTCGGGATTGAACCCGGACCACAAGGAGATCGTCACCCGGTCTCCGGGCAATCCGGTTTAGCCAACTACGCTAGAGAGCCGGGCATAGACATATAGATAAAAGGGTAGACGGACGGATAGTTAATTAGAGGACAAGAAACAAAATGGGTAACTTTGTGTGTAGGTAAGCAGAGAGTTAATTACTTAAAGAACCTAAACTCTTGTGTGATGGTAGGTATAATGTTAAATACTTACATTACCTGATCTCTTGTGTGAAGGTACGTATAGAGTTAAATACTTACAATACCTGATCTCTTGTGTGAAGGTAGGTATAGAGTTAAATACTTACAATACCAGATCTCTTGTGTGAAGGTACGTATAGAGTTAAATACTTACAATACCTGATCTCTTGTGTGAAGGTACGTATAGAGTTAAATACTTACATTACCTGATCTCTTGTGTGAAGGTACGTATAGAGTTAAATACTTACAATACCTGATCTCTTGTGTGAAGGTACGTATAGAGTTAAATACTTACAATACCTGATCTCTTGTGTGAAGGTACGTATAGAGTTAAATACTTACATTACCTGATCTCTTGTGTGAAGGTACGTATAGAGTTAAATACTTACAATACCAGATCTCTTGTGTGAAGGTACGTATAGAGTTAAATACTTACAATACCTGATCTCTTGTGTGAAGGTAGGTATAGAGTTAAATACTTACAACATCTAATCTCTTGTGTGAAGGTAGGTATAGGGTTAAATACTTACAACATCTAATCTCTTGTGTGAAGGTAGGTATAGGGTTAAATACTTACAATACCTGATCTCTTGTGTGAAGGTAGGTATAGGGTTAAATACTTACAACACCAGATCTCTTGTGTAAAGATAGGTATAGAGTTAAATAATTTCAACACCAGATCTCTTGTGTGAAGGTAGGTATAGAGTTAAATAATTTCAACACCAGATCTCTTGTGTAAAGGTAGGTATAGGGTTAAATACTTACAATACCTGATCTCTTGTGTGAAGATAGGTATAGAGTTAAATACTTACAATACCTGATCTCTTGTGTGAAGGTAGGTATAGGGTTAAATACTTACAATACCTGATCTCTTGTGTGAAGGTAGGTATAGAGTTGAATACTTAAATACCTGATCTCTTGTGTAAAGATAGGTATTGAGTTAAATACTTTCAACACCAGATCTCTTGTGTGAAGGTAGGTAAAAAGTGAAATACTTACAGCAAACTGATCTCTTGTGTGAAGGTAGGTAAAAAGTGAAATACTTACAGCAAACTGATCGCTTGTGTGAAGGTAGGTAACAAGTGAAATACTTACAGCAAACTGATCGCTTGTGTGAAGGTAGGTATAGATCTCTTGTGTGAAGGTAGGTAACAAGTGAAATACTTACAGCAAACTGATCGCTTGTGTGAAGGTAGGTATAGATCTCTTGTGTGAAGGTAGGTATAGATCTCTTGTGTGAAGGTAGGTATAGATCTCTTGTGTGAAGGTAGGTATAGATCTCTTGTGTGAAGGTAGGTATAGATCTCTTGTGTGAAGGTAGGTATAGATCTCTTGTGTGAAGGTAGGTATAGATCTCTTGTGTGAAGGTAGGTAACAAGTGAAATACTTACAGCAAACTGATCTCTTGTGTGAAGGTAGGTAACAAGTGAAATACTTACAGCAAACTGATCTCTTGTGTGAAGGTAGGTAACAAGTGAAATACTTACAGCAAACTGATCTCTTGTGTGAAGGTAGGTAACAAGTGAAATACTTACAGCAAACTGATCGCTTGGCCACTGTCGACTGGAGATTGTTTTATCAAACTGTATCTCGCTGGATGGACAGAGAGAAAACGTTTCCTGAATGATTCTCACAGAAAAACAATGTTCACAACTTATACACAAGGAGGCGGCGACTGTGTTTTTCCCCGGGGCTCGTCTGCATGATTAAGCCAGTTTACGACTAGTACAAGGAAATATTGTGAGAAGTACAGGCTGCAGTATTAACAGTAATCCCAACATCGAGTGCCGAATTGTCCACACCACTACGACTTGAGCATCGTCGTTATTAGTAGCATGGCTGGCACTGGTTCTACAGGCTGCGACTGTTCGATGAGTTACAGGTTTGTATGCATTTACATCAATTTAATATAATAACAATCTAAATAATTGAGACATATAATATTTACTAATGCCTCCAAGAGATCAGAAATTTAATAGCCACCACATATCTAAGAAATCAGAAATATAATAGCCACCATTGTCTCCATAATATAAGAAATATAATAGCCACCATTGTCCCCCAAGAGATCAGAAATATAATATTCACCACTTCTCTAAGAGATCAGAAATATAATAGCCACCATTGTTCCCCCAAGAGATCAGAAATATAATAGCCACCATTGTCTCCAAGAGATCAAAAATATAATAGCCACCACACATCCAAGAATTCAGAAATATGATAGCCACCATTGTCTCCAATAAATCAGAAATATAATAGCCACTATTGTCTCCAATAGATCAAAAATATAATAGCCACCAAATATCCAAGAGATCAGAAATATAATAGCCACCATTGTCTCCAAGAGATCAGAAATATAATAGCCACCATTGTCCCCCAAGAGACCAGAAATATAATATCCACCTTGTCCCCCAAGAGATCAGAAACATAATAGCCACCAGTTCTCCAAGAGATCAGAAATGTAATAACTACCACTTCTCTAAGAGATGAGAAATATATATAATAGTCCCCACTGTCTCCAAGAGATCAGAAATATAATAGTCCCCACTGTCTCCAAGAGATCAGAAATATAATAGTCCCCACTGTCTCCAAGAGATCAGATATATAATAGCCTCTATTGTCCCCAAGAGATCAGAAATATAATAGCCACCACTTCTCCAAGAGATCAGAAATATAATAGCCTCTATTGTCCCCAAGAGATCAGAAATATAATAGCCACCACTTCTTCAAGAGATCAGAAATATAATAGCCACTATTGTCTCTAAGAGATCAGAAATATAATGGCCTCTATTGTCCCCCAAGAGATCAGAAATATAATAGCCACCACTTCTCCAAGAGATCAGAAATGTAATAGCCACCACTTCTCCAAGAGATCAGAAATATAATAGCCACCACGTCTCCAAGAGATCAGATATATAATAGCCCCCACTGTCTCCAAGAGATCAGAAATATAGTAGTCCCCACTGTCTCCAAGAGATCAGAAATATAATAGCCACCACTTCTCCAAGAGATCAGAAATATAATAGCCTCTATTGTCCCCCAAGAGATCAGAAATATAATAGCCTCTATTGTCTCCAAGAGATCAGAATTATAATATCCCACTGTCTCCAAGAGATCAGAAATATAATAGCCTCTATTGTCTCCAAGAGATCAGAAATATAATAGCCACCACTTCTCCAAGAGATCAGAAATATAATAGCCTCTATTGTCTCCAAGAGATCAGAAATATAATAGCCACCACTTCTCCAAGAGATCAGAAATATAATAGCCCCCACTGTCTCCAAGAGATCAGAAATATAATAGCCTCTATTGTCTCCAAGAGATCAGAAATATAATAGCCTCTATTGTCTCAAAGAGATCAGAAATATAATAGCCACCATTGTCTCCAAGAGATCAGAAATATAATAGCCTCTATTGTCTCCAAGAGATCAGAAATATAATAGCCTCTATTGTCTCAAAGAGATCAGAAATATAATAGCCACCATTATCTTCATGAGATCAGAAATATAATATCCACCACTTCTCCAAGAGAAATATAACAGAAGTATAATGCCGAGACTGACTTACGCAGACTCCCACTCTTCCTCCACCCTCCCCGCTCTTGCCTTTTGCAATTGTACCATTTGCCACCTAGTTTTGTCTTGTTGTTTTGTTCTCCTGCTTCTCCTCTCCGTCAGTTTTTCTGTTGTCACGACTAACTTCCCCCCTCATGACCCGCCCCAGCGACCTGGAATGGAGCTTTTGACTGTGAGTAGATGTCCTCAATAAAACTTGGTCATCAAGTTCCCCCTGTATTGTTATGATCCTTCTACACAACATAATAGTCACAGAACAGACATCATAGGTCCAAGTTGACCGTCGGTGACAATCATCTGCCAGATTGTGCTGCAACAATCGCTTGTTCCCCCACACGGTCACAGGCTGGCCTCCCTCATATCAGTTTGTAGCTTACTGGCCCACATTATCAAGCAGGAAACACTGTCTGGATAAGGGTAGGCATGACAATATAATGGATATGTGTAGGTATGACTATATAATCGATAAGTGTAGACATGCCAATATAATGGATATGTGTAGGCATGACTATATAATCGATAAGTGTAGGCATGCCAATATAATGGATTTGTGTAGGCATGATTGTATAATCGATAAGTGTAGGTCTGCCAATATAATGGATATGTGTAGGCATGACTATATAATGCATATGTGTAGGCATGACGTAACAGTGGAAGGACACTGCAACTCTCAACACAACGACAGCTCTAAGAGTGGAAGTACACTGCAACTCTCAAAACAACGACAGCTCTAAGAGTGGAAGTACACTGCAACTCTCAACACAACGGCAGCTCTAAGAGTGGAAGTACACTGCAACTCTTAACACAACGACAGCTCTAACAGTGGAAGTACATAGTAACCCTAAACACAACGACAGCTCTAACAGTGGAAGTACACTGCAACTCTCAACACAACGACAACTCTAAGAGTGGAAGTACACTGTAACCCTCAACACAACGACAGCTCTAACAGTGGAAGTACACTACAACCCTCAACACAACGACAGCTCTAACAGTGGAAGTACACTGTAACCCTCAACACAACGACAGCTCTAACAGTGGAAGTACACTGTAACCCTCAACACAACGGACAGCTCTAACAGTGGAAGTACACTGCAACCGTCAACACAACGGACAACTGTAGCTGACTCACCGACAGGGACTGTTGCAGTTGCACTTGGCGTTGTCCTTGGTGAAGTTCCACTGGACCTGGGTCAGGCACTCCATCTCTGGGCAGAGAACATTGAGGTCAGCGGTCAGTTTGTGGATGTATCGACAGTCAATGACATTAAAACGATTGACTTCGCGGAACTCGGTTTCATATGAGGGGTGGTCAAAAGGATAACATTGTTACAACTAGGAAGACTGGCGGTAACACAGTAGGGGGAGGCAAACAAATACATACCTGGATGGCTTGGCCACATGGATGGGACGACACAAGATCACTGACATGATTCGTGATTGTCGTGATCGTCTGAGATGTCGTGATCGTGTGAGATGTCGTGATCGTGTGAGACGTCGTGATCGCGCGAGATGTCGTGATCGTGTGATATGTCGTGATCGAGTGAGATGTCGTGATCAAGTGAAATGTCGTGATCGCGTGAGATTTCGTAATCGTGTGAGATGTCGTGTCGTGATCGTGGGAGATGTCGTGATCGTGGGAGATATTGTGATCTTGTGAGATGTCGTAATCGTATGAGATGTCGTGTCGTGATCGTGTTAGATGTCGTGATCGTGTTGTTTTTGTTATCGATCCAGCGGCGCATGAGCTTTCGCCGTTTGGCCCAATGCCATGTAGTGGAATTTGCATGTTTTCACAAACTGTTCTTTTCCTCCGTACAAGGTGTTCCACTTGTCTGGTCTCGGAGGGAGTAGCGTTCTTCCGGTCTCACTGAGTTTTTGACACTCAAAGAGATGGTGTTCAACAGTTTCGTAGGGGTAGTTACATAGCTGGCACTCTGGGGAGTGTTGTGGCTGTATTCTGTTTAGGTGTCCATTGAGTGGAGTATGTTGCGTTCTAAGTCTGAAGATTGTGGCCTGGTCCCTTCTTGTTAGATGGTTAATGCTGTCATTAGGATCAGGGCCAGACATATGTCTATAAACCTCTCTTCCAGTGTCTCCCATGGCCCATCTGTTCAACCAAGTCTCTTTGTTTATAGCTCTTATCAGTGTTTTTGCTGTCTGGAGGGTTGTCGCTGCAGGTGGTTGTTCTTGTGTTGTTCCTTTTTTTGCCAATCTGTCAGCTCTGTCATTACCTGGTGTGCCGGAGTGACCTGGAATCCACTGTATCACTATTCTGATGTTGTATAAGGTAATAAGCTGATCAGCATCCAGGATTATCTTGGCTATGTCAGTTCTGCAGCGTTCACTGCCCTCCAGAGCTTGAAGTGCAGACATTGAATCAGTGAAGATGACAATATTTTGTGCCTTTGAAGGATAAACATTCATTACAGTCTTTAGACGGTATACTGCTGTTTCCAGTGCAATTATTTCGGCTTCATAATTTGAACTGAATTCCCCGCATGCATCAACAATCTCTTGAACAGATTCATCGGGATAACCTATGTAGATCCCGTAACCTGCTTTTCGTGATCGTGTTAGATGTCGTGATCGTATTAGATGTCGTGATCGTGTGAGATGTCGTGATCGTGTGAGATGTCGTGATCGTGTTAGATGTCGTGTCGTGATCGTGTTAGATGTCGTGACGTGATCGCGGAAGACGACGAAACATGACAGTTTGCGCATATCAGTGCGTTTTGTGATGACGATGATGATGATGAACTAATGACACGCGACCAATCAGTCTGTAACACCCGTCTGACATTAATATTAGCAATGCAGCCGTTTCCAAAAACAATTACTTACTTAGCAAATCAACTTACCAGTCAACTCAATGATCAACTCCCTAATCAACCAGTCCTAAAACCATTCAATCAACTAATCGACCAATCAATTTCCCAACCACAACAAGCAATCAACCAATCAACTAACTAACCATTTACCTAACCAGGAAGACAATAACCAACCAGTCAACTAACAAGCCAGAAAACTAGACAACTAACCAGCCAGACAACTAACTGGTTAGTCAAATCATCAAACATTCAACTTACCAGTCAGACAACTAATCAGCCAGTCAACTAACCAAGCAATAAACTAACGAGCCAGCCAGTTAACCAATCAGTAAACTAATTAACTAGTGAACTAACCAATCAGTAAACTAATTAACTAGTGAACTAACCAGTCAGACCATTAACCAGCCAGTCAAGTAACCAGTCAGTCAACTCACAAACCAGTCAATTCACTAATCAGTCAACTCACCAACCAGACAACTAACCAACCACTAAACTTACCATCCAGTCAACTAACCAGCTAGTAAACTAACCAGCTGGCAAGTAATCAACCAGACAACTAGTCAACAAAACAACTAAACAGCCAGACAAATCACCAGCCAGTCAACTAACCAACCCATCGCCTAACCAACCATAAAGAACAAATGAAGAGACTTACGTGTTTCATTCTGGCATGGAGGGAGACCACCGGCAAAATTCATCAGTTTGGTTGTCTGCAGGGCCCTCTGATCGTAGCACTGACATGTCTCCAGTAGGATCTGCTGTTCACACACTTTCTGACAGGTCTGTAGATAAACTACAACTAGCTGACCCTTTCACTTCTAACTGTTCCTGTTGCACACTTATATTCGCCTTTCTCTTCCTCTCACACTTCCCTCCTGGCTGCATCCACTCCTAACTGCCAGTTTATTCATTCAGACACACGTTACTTCATCTAATCACGTGTCATCTGTCAGCATTCATTCATAAATCGTCGTCAGAATGTCTCATTTGTCCAGCACGAGTGTTCTGTAGTTTTCACTTAACACTTTATCATTGCCTCGCACTCCTGCATATCCATCTGAGACACTGAAAATCTTGGCCTCCTGATGCTAGGTATCCACTCATGCCACATTTGTCCACTTTGAATCTTCCTCACTACCAACTGAGAATCAGTTACTTTAATTCCTCTGGTTACTCTGTTTACTACTATCCACTTCAGAGCTGCAGTGACTGCCTCCACCTCCATCCTGATGCTTGAAAATGTGCATGAAAAGCACCACTTTCTTCTTACACAATTTTCCCCCTCACTGGAACTGAAAATCGTCAGTCAGATCTTTCACGGCGATGGACAGAACCAACGGTGTACACTACTGCACGATCTAGACCAGAGTTTTCCTCTGTCAGTTGTTGTACCTCTAATTCTGCCTTACATTTACACCACCCTCTACATTCTCTTCATAACGTGATAATGACAGTTGTGTTGTGGGTGTTCGTGTCTCTAATTCCTGCCTTACATTTGTGGTGTAGAGATGATAGTAAATATGTTCCTCTGTGTCTTTACATTCCAGTCTTTATCACGTGTCCTCTGTATAATGAAAATGATGGAAACAAGATGTTGTGGGCTTTCGTGTCGACCCATTCCTGTCAATCTAAGTTATATTTGACAACTCGAACCTTTCAAATAAAAAGCTGAACTTCGCAGCAACAACCCAGAAAAACTTATCAAACAAATACAGCCAAGAATGCATTAAATAACAGTTATTTAATTAGGCCTGCCACAAATTGTACATCTCGTTTGAACATTAGAGGCTTGGGGTAACACAGTGGTTTACAGGGTCAGATACTGGACAGCGATTGACCATTACAGGTGAACTGGCTAGACCAGGTGAGGGCTTACAGTACAGGTAGGGTGGCTAGACAAGGTGAGAGATTACAGTACAGGTGGGGTGGCTAGACAAGGTGAGAGATTACAGTTCAGGTAGGGGTGGCTAGACGAGGTGAGGGTTTACAGTACAGGTGGGGTGGCTAGACAAGGTGAGGGATTAAGATACAACTGTTTTTTTTTTTTACATAAAACTGCTTGACTTTACTGTGTAGGGGAGTGGGGCGGGAAGGAGGAGGGGGGGGGGGACAAAATACGAAGTGAGAGAGGAGGGAAAGGATTGAGGACAGAGAGAGAGACGGAGACAGACAGAGAGACAGAGACAGAGAGAGAAAGAGAGAGAAAGACGGAGACAGAGAGAGACAGACAGAAGACAGAGAGAGAGAAAGAGAGATAGAGAGAGAGAGAGAGAGAGAGAGAGAGAGAGAGAGAGAGAGAGAGAGAGAAAGATGTGTACTCTATCTTTGAAATGGCTAGATGAAGTGTATGTCCTGTTGAAGCTAGCATTTTTTCATCACTTCCTGTTTCCACTAATTTTGTTTAATTTTCGTCAAAAGCTCCACGTTTCATTTAATTTTAACTATTTGCTGCAACTATTATGAAAGCAGCGGCGTCCGTGACTAAGGCGTTGCGAGTCCGACTCGTAAGCCAGCATACCGCGATCGAAACCTGCGTGGGCTGCGTGGATTTTTATCGTGGTATGGGACGTCGTAGGTCGACCCAGCCTAAAATAGGTACCAGGATGGGCTGTCCTGGGAAAGTAAAGACAGCCGGCGTAATGCTGACCACATTACCCACAGAGTGCTGACGGTCTGTAAAAATATGGGACGCTCTGCCCATATGCCCGATGCGCCAAAAGGCGTGAAAAGGGAACTTTTATTAGGAAAGCAATATATTTTAGAGGCACACAAATATATATGTGTAAATGAAACAAAGATATGAGGATATTTCATTTTTTCATTTCTGGCCTTTACTGATACTGTCTTCTTGCCTGGCTGTGTTATTTCTGTGATACAGTCTGATTTGGCTGTGTTATTTCGTTGTACTGATACAGTCTCAGGTTGCCTGGCTGTGTTATTTCGTTTGCAGTGAGGTTGCCTGGCTGTGTTATTTTGTTGTACTGATACAGTCTGAGGTTGCCTGGCTGTGTTATTTTGTTGTACTGATACAGTCTGAGGTTGCCTGGCTGTGTTATTTTGTTGTACTGATACAGTCTGAGGTTGCCTGGCTGTGTTATTTCGTTGTACTGATACAGTCTGAGGTTGCCTGGCTTTGAACTCGCATTTTTATAATTCGCAGCAATGTAGAACACCAAGTTTTCAACTTTCAAATACGACAAAAGCAGCTAAATATAATAAGACGTGCCGACACCAACTGTACATACCGTTCTCGTGTACTTGACTTTGTAGGTGCTGAGAAAATCACTGGTGGACGAGCACTCGCCGTACGGGCTGTCCATTCGGGAGATGTTCGACTGGGGACAAAATTATAAAACGTTAGGGTCACTTACTACACGGCAGGTTGGGGTCACTACACAGTACGTTAGGGTCACTTACTACACGGCAGGTTGGGGTCACTACACAGTACGTTAGGGTCACTTTCTACACGGCAGATTAGGATCACTACACAGTACGTTGGGGTTACTGCACGGCACGTTGGGTCACTCACTCCACGGCAGGTTAGCGTCACTCACTATGCGGCAGGTTAGGGTCACTGCACGGTATGTCGGGATTACTACATGGCCCGTTGGGGTCACTCACTCCATGGCAGGTTGGGGTCACTACACGGCACGTTGGGGTCACTACACGGCAGGTTGGGGTCACTCACTACACAGCAGGTTGGGGTCACTACACGGTACGTTGGGGTCACTCACTCCACGGCAGGTTGGGGTCACTACACAGCACGTTGGGGTCACTACACGTCATTTTTTTTTCTCAGTTTATTACAAAAATCATCACTTTTTTAATGTGTTCGTGTTTGTAAACTTTGGCATTTCGTAGAAAAGATTACATACAAGATTTATGCCATTTGCAAACAATTTGTCAGCATTTGATTGGTCCCTAATAGACATTTTCTTGACATCGAATAGTCTAAAAAAAAAAAAATGCGCAGAGCGTGGGTTTTCCCGATGTTGTTTCGATTTCTAGAGCTATCTGAATTCCGACGCTATTTGGTTTTTTAGTGATATTTATTATACATGCTGTCATTATGGCAAGAAAAGCATTTCGCTTTGGACTAAGAACTTTAAACAAAACAAAAACAAAAAAACCTAGAGGAAATTATGCATGAAAACTTAGGTAAGCTTCGAATTTGAGATAATTTTATTACTGCTAATATTTACGCTAAGGATGTGATCCATGCTAATTTGATGCTTCTGCCATTTTTATGTTCCAGTTCTACAAACCAAGAGCTTGACACCAATGAGCCTACGGGTACTGCTGAAGATGCAGATCCGGAAAACCATGGTAGAGCACGGCAGGAGTTTGACGTAGACAATAATTCCACTGAGAAAAAAAAAAAAAACACCACTCTTTTATATACACATTCATTCATCAAAGTTTCTTCAATTCCCTTGTTTCTGCAGTGGGATGAAGAAATTTCAGAAGTATTAATCTACAACTAGTTACGACCAAGACAAAAGGTCTGGCCTTCCTTTTACAGCCTGTGAGTCACATGGTCGGACTGGATATCAAAAATAAGCAAACAGCATGCCATCAACTAAAGGGCAGTCATTGGTTGTAAAGACGATAGCATTGGCTATGCTAAGTTAAATTCTTGCAATCTGTTATGAACATTACAAATCAGACGCCCCAGACAACATACTATAAATTAGCAAAAATGGTTAGCATTGCTGCAAAGACAGTAGCAGAGGAAGCGATGTGCCGAGCAGCTTTGGTAGTTGCAGAAAGATCAGCAGCTGCAGTTCCCAAACACACAAAGCCACAAGGGACACTGGGTGCCTCAGTTTCATACGATGGCACATGGCAGAAATGAGGCCATTCGTCACAAATTGGGTTGCCCTAATCAGGTACCAAGCCTGTCTGTGAGCGGAACCTGAGCGGATACAACATATCTGGGGCTGGTAGTTATGACCTGACTTGAATGTCACTAAATCCTCAGTAACAAAGTCTTGTCTCCAGTTTAAACGATCTGCGCCTCTTTGGCCAATATTCACATTCGATGGCTTTTGTTAGAGCACGACCTCTCCGTTCACTAGGAGAGGGAATCGATTCTTATAACCGAGGCCTTCAAGGGAAGATCCGTGTGGAGTATCGGAGCGCAGTTTTCATATCAACCCCATTTAGGTCTTTTTAATTTGTACGGATGGAGTTGTTCTGACTCTGTTACATACTTATCTGTGTTGTCCGTGTGACAGTACTTACCTGTGTTGTCCGTGTGACAGTACTTACCTGTGTTGTCCGTGTGACAGTACTTACCTGTGTTGTCCGTGTGACAGTACTTACCTGTGTTGTCCGTGTGACAGTACTTACCTGTGTTGTCTGTGTGACAGTACTTACCTGTGTTGTCCGTGTGACAGTACTTACCTGTGTTGTCTGTGTGACAGTACTTACCTATGTTGTCCGTGTGACAGTACTTACCTGTGTTGTCTGTGTGACAGTACTTACCTATGTTGTCCGTGTGACAGTACTTACCTGTGTTGTCCGTGTGACAGTACTTACCTATGTTGTCCGTGTGACAGTACTTACCTGTGTTGTCTGTGTGACAGTACTTACCTATGTTGTCCGTGTGACAGTACTTACCTGTGTTGTCTGTGTGACAGTACTTACCTGTGTTGTCCGTGTGACAGTACTTACCTGTGTTGTCCGTGTGACAGTACTTACCTGTGTTGTCTGTGTGACAGTACTTCACTGTCCTGTCCGTGTGACAGTACTTCACTGTCCTGTCCGTGTGACAGTACTTCACTGTCCTGTCCGTGTGACAGTACTTCACTGTCCTGTCCGTGTGACAGTACTTACCCGTGTTGTCCGTGTGACAGTACTTACCTGTGTTGTCCGTGTGACAGTACTTACCTGTGTTGTCCGTGTGACAGCACTTACTGTGTGGTTGTCTGTGTGACAGTACTAAACCTGTGTTGTCAGTGTGACAGGTGTTGTCCGGCTGTGACAGTACTTACCTGTGTTGTCCGTGTGACAGCACTTACCTGTGTTGTCCGTGTGACAGTACTTACCTGTGTTGGTCTGTGTGACAGTAATTAACTGTGTTGTGCCTGTGACAGTACTTACCTGCTGTGTGACCAGTACTTACCTGTGTTGGTCTGTGTGACAGTACTTACTGTGTTGTCTGTGTGACAGTACTTACCTATGTTGTCCTGTGACAGTACTTTACCTGTGTTGTCCGTGTGACAGTCACTTACCTGTGTTGTCCGTTTGTGACAGCACTTACCTGTGTTGTCTGTGTGACAGCACTTACCTGTGTTGTCTGTGTGACAGTACTTACCTGTGTTGTCCGTGTGACAGCACTTACCTGTGTTGTCCGTGTGACAGCACTTACCTGTGTTGTCCGTGTGACAGCACTTACCTGTGTTGTCCGTGTGACAGTACTTACCTGTGTTGTCCGTGTGACAGTACTTAAATTATGTGCCAATAATCACCTGTCTACAACCTATAACAGTCTGAGTTCTGGGCATCTGTGACAGCAAGACCTGTCTGAGACCTATGACAATCTGGGTGCCTGTGACAGCATTTACCTGTCTTAGACTTATGACAGTCTGGGTGCCTATGAAAGCATTTACCTGTCTGAGCCATATGACAGTTTGGGTGCCTGTGACAGCATTTACCTGTCTGAGACCTATGACAGTCTGGGTGCCTGTGACAGCATTTACCTATCTGAGACCTATGACAGTCTGGGTGCCTGTGAAAGCATTTACCTGTCTGAGACCTATGACAGTCTGGGTGCCTGCAGCCACAGCGATGCCCTCGTCGTCGGGGAAAGCAGTGGTTCCCTGCTCGTGGATGATCAGCTGGATCCCTTTCTCGTTAGTGATCCCCGGGACGTACTCATCCGTCTCCAGGAACAGGATCAGCTGAAATCCTGCATAGGAGCACCTTGTGTCAGCGTTTGTGTGAGCGTGTGTGTCAGCGTTTGTGTGAGCGTGTGTCAGCGTTTGTGTGAGCGTGTGTCAGCGTTTGTGTGAGCGTGTGTCAGCGTTTGTGTCAGCGTGTGTGTCAGCGCTTGTGTCAGCGTGTGTGTCAGCGTTTGTGTGAGCGTGTGTCAGCGTTTGTGTGAGCGTGTGTGTCAGCGTTTGTTGTGAGCGTGGTGTGTCAGCGTTTGTGTCAGCGTTTGTGTCAGCGTTTGTGTCAGCGTGTGTGTCAGCGTTTGTGTGAGCGTGTGTGTCAGCGTTTGTGTGAGCGTGTGTGTCAGCGTTTGTGTCAGCGTTTGTGTCAGCGTTTGTGTGAGCGTGTGTGTCAGCGTTTGTGTGAGCGCGTGTGTCAGCGTTTGTGTGAGCGTGTGTGTCAGCGTTTGTGTGAGCGTGTGTGTCAGCGTTTGTGTGAGCGTGTGTGTGTTAGCGTTTGTGTGAGCGTGTGTGTCAGCGCTTGTGTCAGCGTTTGTGTCAGCGTTTGTGTGAGCGCGTGTGTCAGCGTTTGTGTGAGCGCGTGTGTCAGCGTTTGTGTGAGCGCGTGTGTCAGCGTTTGTGTGAGCGCGTGTGTCAGCGTTTGTGTGAGCGTGTGTGTCAGCGCTTGTGTCAGCGTGTGTGTCAGCGCTTGTGTCAGCGTTTGTGTCAGCGTTTGTGTGAGCGCGTGTGTCAGCGTTTGTGTCAGCGTTTGTGTCAGCGTTTATGTCAGCGTTTGTGTCAGCGTTTGTGTGAGCGTGTGTGTCAGCGTTTGTGTGAGCGTGTGTGTCAGCGTTTGTGTGAGCGTGTGTGTCAGCGTTTGTGTGAGCGTTTGTGTCAGCGTTTGTGTGAGCGTGTGTGTCAGCGTTTGTGTGAGCGTGTGTGTCAGCGTTTGTGTCAGCGTTTGTGTCAGCGTTTGTGTCAGCGTTTGTGTCAGCGTTTGTGTGAGGTGTGTCAGCGTTTGTGTGAGGTGTGTCAGCGTTTGTGTAAGGGGTGTCAGCGTCGTGTAGGATGTGTCGCGTTGCTGTACGATGTGTCAGCCTTTGTGTGAGGTGTCTCAGCGATTGTTTGAGGTGTGTCAGCGTATGTGTGAGATGTCTCAGCAATTGTGCGAGGTCAGTGTTTTTGTGAGGTGTGTCAGCGTTTGTGTGAGCGTTTGTGTGAGCGTTTGTGTGAGGTGTGTCAGCGTTTGTGTGAGGTGTATCAGCGTTTGTGTGAGCGTTTGTGTGAGGTGTGTCAGTGTTTGTGTGAGATGTCTCAGCGATTGTGCGAGGTTAGTATTTGTGTGAGGTGTATCAGCATTTGTGTGAGCGTTTGTGTGACTGTGTGTGAGGTCTGTCAGGTTGTGTGGTAACTCTCCGTGGCTAAGTGTTAGGTGTGTCAGGTTTTGTGGCAACTCTGCATGGCTGTGTGAGGTGTGTCGGGTTGAGTGGAATCCCCCTGTGGCTGTGTGTGACGTGTTTCGGGTTGTGTGGCAACTTCCTGTGGCTGTGTGTGAGGTGTATCGGGTTGTTTGGGAACTCTCCATGGCTGTGTGTGAGAGCTGTGGGGGAGGGAGTGATTGGGGGGAGGGGGTGAGCTGTATGAAAGCTGTGTGAGGTTGTGTGCGTAAAAATGGTGGTGTGTGTGTGTTTTAACGTCTCCGTTTCTGTGTCTGAGTGGTGTGTGAGGGTTGTGTGTTTGTGTCTTTGTCATAATCTACAACAATAGTATAATAATAATAATCCTAATAATAATACTAACATTGCAGACATCTTTAAAAGATGGAGCAATTTGAAGCAATAATAAATTAGAGAATATAACAGTTTAATTAGCGACTATGTTTCCAAAGAGGGGGGGGGGGGACACAAAGATGGAGTCTCACGTCAGACATGCTGTACCATCTACATCTGCATACATTTCATAATGCTTACTCTCTCTCCTCTCCTTTCTTCTTCCTTATCGTCTCTTCCTCATTCTTTTTCCTTTTGCCGCCTCTCGTCCTCCTTCTTTCTCCTTCTTTCCTCCTCCACTTTCCTTCTGCCTCCTCTCGTCCGCCTCCTTTTTCCCCTTCCTTCCTCCTCCTCTTGCCTTCTGCCTTCTTTCGTCCGCCTTCTTCTTTCTCCTTCCTTCCTCCTCCTACTGCAGTCTTCTTTCTCTATCACCTCTTCTTCTCGTAGATAGACTTCAAGTGCTGTGGAAATGCTGGTGGTTGTGGCGGGGTGAGCTACACGCGATAGCCAGGGCTGGGACCACTTGGCCTAATGTGACTGAGGACCTTTGCTCCATTGGGGAGGGGGGAAAGAGGGGGGGGGGGTGAAATGAAGCGAGGGACAAGAAGAATTCCTGTATTCAGCATTATCAAAGACAAGACAAACTTGTTTGTGTACACATATGATACTGTAGTCATACTTCAGACAATTCTTCAGGACCGTCTTACCAAAATCATCAATGCTTTATTTCCAAAAACTTTGCAGCCTTATCTTCAACAGTATTTGTACCGTCTTACCTAAGTGATCCCTGCATTATTACCAAAACCATTAGTGTCTTATCTTCAAATGCGTTTGTGGCTTTTTATCAAAATGATCACTGTATTATCCCCAAAATTCTACATCTGTAAGTGATTACCCAGGGCTCTGGCTAAATTGGTAAAACCAGCTGCGCGGCGACCAGGCGACAAACTCCCTGTGGTCCTAGTTCACGGGTAGGCAGAAAAACAAAATATTCCCCAGATTTACGGTATCTATTTAGGAATCACAGCCAAAGGGTTGCGATATCCATAGTACCGAGTCAAAGGGTTGCGATATCCATAGTACCGAGTCAAAGGGTTGCGATATCCATAGTACCGAGTGAAAGGGTTGCGATATCCATAGTACCGAGTCAAAGGGTTGCGATATCCATAGTACCGAGTCAAAGGGTTGCGATATCCATAGTACCGAGTCAAAGGGTTGCGATATCCATAGTACCGAGTCAAAGGGTTGCGATATCCATAGTACCGAGCAAAAGGATTGTTTTTATCCATAGTAGAGAGCTAAAAGGTTTACAACTCATTGTTTCTAGATCAATATGACACCATCGTATCCAAGGGATAGATAGGAATCTGGTTAACTGTCTACTGACCTTGGTCGGGTCCACTTCTGCGTGCCGCCCACAGTGTGTTCTGTATTGTGTAGCAGTTGCCATACGAGGTCGACTGGCTGACAGTGAAGTTGCTGTTATAGATGGCAGTTGCAACATGAAATCTACAACTGGCTACAGCGAGTGTGGGAGTGTGTGTGTATGTGTATGTGTGTGGGAGTGTTTGTGTGGGTGTGAGAGTGTGTAACAAGTCAATGAACTGCACAACAACATAACCCAATGAAATCTAAAACTTGCACCATTCATCATGGTTTTTATTCACCCCAAACAACGGAAGTTCTCGAAATCAACAGTTAAGTCCACTATTCTTAGGTGTAATGACAGTGACAGAACAAACGCTAACACCCCAACACATAAAACCCTTAGAAAAGAGGTGCTCTTTGAGGGCTGCGTGGTCACGAGGCAGGGCGTCTGCCTGGCGTATTGGAGGTTCCAGGTTTAGGCCCTGGTGAAGGCTTGGATTTTTTAAACTTGGACTTCCAGTAATTTCCAATGGTCTCTGTGCAGTAAGCTCGGACGTCCAGTAATTTCCCCTGGTCTCTGTGCAGTAAGCTTGGACGTTCAGTAATTTCCCCTGGTCTCTGTGCAGTAAGCTCGGACGCCCGTCTTGCGAACGTTAAAAAAAATCCCTTGGCAGTTGGAAATTGAAAAAGAGTTTCCTAACGGCACTGCCCGGGCATAATTTTGAATTATAAATCTACCCAAAGTATTTTAGGATCCCCGACGGTGCTACTGAGTTTGTGCGCTGCGCTGAGATTGTTCGGACATGCTCATGTCAAAAGTAAAACGGAGCACTTATGTACTAAACCCTTGTGCTATGATGTTGATCCGTTGTTTAAACCCAAACCTAACCCATAGAATAGTTGACGGTGTTCTCTGTGGCATCATCTCAGTGCTTGTAATGCCGGACTGGGCCAAACACAAACTTCCCTACAAGAGTACTGCAACTTAGGTCACACGCATTCTCCTTCTCTGAAAGAAAACGTAAATGGAAGACAACTCAGAAAGCTTTTCGAGCTAACACCACACCGGGACACCCCCGTAACCTTCAGCAAAGTTGACGAGCCTGAGCAAGTACCAATCGAAAGTGACCTTGTGTGTAAAAAGGCAGAGCTAACTCAGATGGGGAGAAAGCCGCAAGTTTAACTGGCTGAAATGTCCCGTCAGAGGGTCGCTCATCCTTTCTTGTGGACTGCCAGTTCAAGCATGCTCGTCCAGGGGTTACTTGACACTTTTTTTTTTCACTGGTCACTGACTCAAAGCTTCTCGTCCACTCCCTAAGGGTTCAAGAATAGCACATTATCCTTCACAATGTCTACTGAAAAAAAAAAGGGGGGGGGGGGGGGAGTTTGCCTAAGATTTCAAAAATAGTACTCTTCTTCACAAGGTCTGCAACCGGGAAAGTTGGTTTGGCTAAGGGCTCAAGATCAGAACACTGTTCTTCACAAGGCCTACGGATATGTTCATGATGAAAATCGAGCGTTCTCCGCCCGACGGGATCAAGCCAGTTATGGCAGACAATCAATTGTGCAACATCTTGGTTGTGTCCTGACTATGCAGAAATCTAACCGAAGCTAATCCAACATTTTTACAAATCAACAAGATAAAGCAGACTGACCTCATGACGCACTGACCTCCGGCGTAGGAGCACTGGATCAACATGTTCTGGATCTGATGTCCCATCGTTAGCCGCTTCTCTCTGGGAGACCAATTATCACACTGAGGTTATGTCAAGTCAAGTCTACTGTACCACACTGAGGTTATGTCAAGTCAAGTCTACTGTACCACACTGAGGTTATGTCAAGTCAAGTCTACTGTACCACACTGAGGTTATGTCAAGTCATGCCTACTGTACCACACTGAGGTTATGTCAAGTCAAGCCTACTGTACCACACTGAGGTTATGTCAAGTCAAGCCTACTGTACCAAACTGAGGTTATGTCAAGTCAAGCCTACTGTACCACACTGAGGTTATGTCAAGTCAAGTCTACTGTACCACACTGAGGTTATGTCAAGTCATGCCTACTGTACCAATTGAGGTTATGTCAAGTCAAGTCTACTGTACCACACTGAGGTTATGTCAAGTCAAGCCTACTGTACCACACTGAGGTTATGTCAAGTCAAGCCTAATGTACCACACTGAGGTTATGTCAAGTCAAGCCTACTGTACCACACTGAGGTTATGTCAAGTCAAGTCTACTGTACCACACTGAGGTTATGTCAAGTCATGCCTACTGTACCACACTGAGGTTATGTCAAGTCAAGCCTACTGTACCACACTGAGGTTATGTCAAGTCAAGCCTACTGTACCAAACTGAGGTTATGTCAAGTCAAGCCTACTGTACCACACTGAGGTTATGTCAAGTCAAGTCTACTGTACCACACTGAGGTTATGTCAAGTCATGCCTACTGTACCACACTGAGGTTATGTCAAGTCAAGTCTACTGTACCACACTGAGGTTATGTCAAGTCAAGCCTACTGTACCACACTGAGGTTATGTCAAGTCAAGCCTAATGTACCACACTGAGGTTATGTCAAGTCAAGCCTACTGTACCACACTGAGGTTATGTCAAGTCAAGCCTACTGTACCACACTGAGGTTATGTCAAGTCAAGCCTACTGTACCACACTGAGGTTATGTCAAGCCTACTGTACCACACTGAGGTTATGTCAAGTCAAGTCTACTGTACCACACTGAGGTTATATCAAGTCAAGCCTAATGTACCACACTGAGGTTATGTCAAGTAAAGTCTACTGTACCACACTGAGGTTATGTCAAGTCAAGTCTACTGTACCACACTGAGGTTATGTCAAGTCAAGCCTACTGTACCACACTGAGGTTATGTCAAGTCAAGCCTACTGTACCACACTGAGGTTATGTCAAGTCTACTGTACCACACTGAGGTTATGTCAAGTCTACTGTACCACACTGAGGTTATGTCAAGCCTACTGTACCACACTGAGGTTATGTCAAGTCAAGTCTACTGTACCACACTGAGGTTATGTCAAGCCTACTGTACCACACTGAGGTTATGTCAAGTCATGCCTACTGTACCACACTGAGGTTATGTCAAGTCAAGTCTACTGTACCACACTGAGGTTATGTCAAGTCAAGCCTACTGTACCACACTGAGGTTATGTCAAGTCAAGCCTAATGTACCACACTGAGGTTATGTCAAGTCAAGCCTACTGTACCACACTGAGGTTATGTCAAGTCAAGCCTACTGTACCACACTGAGGTTATGTCAAGTCAAGCCTACTGTACCACACTGAGGTTATGTCAAGCCTACTGTACCACACTGAGGTTATGTCAAGTCAAGTCTACTGTACCACACTGAGGTTATGTCAAGTCAAGCCTAATGTACCACACTGAGGTTATGTCAAGTAAAGTCTACTGTACCACACTGAGGTTATGTCAAGTCATGCCTACTGTACCACACTGAGGTTATGTCAAGCCTACTGTACCACACTGAGGTTATGTCAAGTCAAGTCTACTGTACCACACTGAGGTTATGTCAAGCCTACTGTACCACACTGAGGTTATGTCAAGTCATGCCTACTGTACCACACTGAGGTTATGTCAAGTCAAGTCTACTGTACCACACTGAGGTTATGTCAAGTCAAGCCTACTGTACCACACTGAGGTTATGTCAAGTCAAGCCTAATGTACCACACTGAGGTTATGTCAAGTCAAGCCTACTGTACCACACTGAGGTTATGTCAAGTCAAGCCTACTGTACCACACTGAGGTTATGTCAAGTCAAGCCTACTGTACCACACTGAGGTTATGTCAAGTCAAGTCTACTGTACGTTACATATTTTATGTCAAAGAAACGTACTGTATAGTACACAAAAACCTGCATATTGCACACTAGAAGTCTCTTGGAGGCCTTGAGCACACACAAATGTAGGAAGTATTTCTTGGAAACAAACAAGAAAGTTCCAAAAACAAAAAATTAATAATCAAAGGCAGGTAGAATATTTTTGCCACGTGAACAAACATACGTCAATGTAAAATAATTCCATACATAATGCGCTAGCGGGAAGAGGAAAAAAGAAATAAGAAGTAGGGAGGTGAGGAAAAAAACCAACAACTATGATAACGACAATAGTTAGTTCCCCGAAGATCAACAAAAACATGAAAAGTAAAGAAAAGACAGGGGTTCTTCTGTGCAGGGGCCATGAAATATTATCATAGCTCTGGCGAAGGATATGCGAGCAGTTGTGTTACAAAACAACAACAGCTAACCACAACTACATAGGTAACACCTAAACAAACCATGTGCACGAAATACAAGCTCTGTCTTGAATCAAGAAAATGAATATAACCATCACATTCACCATCTGTTTATAATACTCAACTCAAAACTAAGTGCTTCACAGATAACATTACATTAACAACCATCAGGTGTCCGAACAGCTCATATGCTACTCACTCCAACTACTAAAAGTGAAAATTTGTCTCTAGTTACCAAAAATCGAATCCCTCTAAGCGATGATACACACTGATATCTAGATCTACGTAGTACCAGCAGCAGCAACAACTATACCAGTAGTAGTAATAGTAGAGACAGCAGCAGCAGCAACTATACCAGTAGTAGTAATAGTAGAGACAGCAGCAGCAGCAACTATACCAGTAGTAGTAATAGTAGAGACAGCAGCAGCAGCAACTATACCAGTAGTAGTAATAGTAGAGACAGCAGCAGCAGCAACTATACCAGTAGTAGTAATAGTAGAGACAGCAGCAGCAGCAACTATACCAGTAGTAGTAATAGTAGAGACAGCAGCAGCAGCAACTATACCAGTAGTAGTAATAGTAGAGACAGCAGCAGCAGCAACTATACCAGTAGTAGTAATAGTAGAGACAGCAGCAGCAGCAACTATACCAGTAGTAGTAATAGTAGAGACAGCAGCAGCAGCAACTATACCAGTAGTAGTAATAGTAGAGACAGCAGCAGCATTAATAATAATAATAGAAGTTTATTGTTTGTTTTGTTTACTCGACATGGCAGACGGGTGTAACTCATAGTTGCTCCTTTCTGCGAGGATTCTAAAATACTTTGGATAGATTTTTAACTCCAAATTTTGCCTAGGTAGCGTCATTAGGCTACTCTTTTGGATTTCCAATTGCTAAGGGATTTGTTAAGTGTGCAAGAATAAACACGGGCGTCCGATCTGACTACCCAGTGACCAGAGGAAATGACTAGAAGTCCATGTGAAAAAATCCCAGCCTTCACCGGAACTTGAACCCAGGACCTCCAGCACTCGAGGCGGACACCTCAAGACCACTCATCCCCTTGAGCAATAGAAGTAGAATTATTAGCAGTAAAAAGAGCAGTAACATCAGTAGTAGCTGTGCTGCCTGGCAGTAAATGTGGTAGCAGTAGCAAACGCTGTAGTGATAGCAGAAGTTGAGAAGCGATAGTTTCCACAAATGTAGCTGAAACAAAGTGTTTAGTCACGCGTACATACGGAGGTTCTTGAACCCAGTAATCCTTGAAGGTTGTCTGCAGGCTATCAAAGGTGGACTGCTTGCACTGACCCTGCCAGCTGTCTGGGTATTTCTGAAGAATAAATGTCAGACCTGTGCTAGCAGGTGTCAAATATATAGAGAATAAATGTCAGACCTGTGCTAGCAGGTGTCAAATATACAGAGAATAAATGTCAGACCTGTGCTAATACGTGTCAAATATACAGAGAATAAATGTCAGACTTGTGCTAGCGGGTGTCAAATATACAGGGAATAGATGACAGACCTGTGCTAGCAGGTGTCAAAAATACAGAGAATAAATGTTAGACTTGTGCTAGCAGGTGTCAAAAATACAGAGAATAAATGTCAGACATGTGCTAGCAGGTGTCAAACATACAGAGAATAAATGTCAGACCTTTGCTAGCAGGTGTCAAACATACAGAGAATAAATGTCAGACCTGTGCTAGCAGGTGTCAAATATACAGGGAATAGATGACAGACCTGTGCTAGCAGGAGTCAAATATACAGAGAATAAATGTCCCACCTGTGCTAGCAGGAGTCAAATATACAGAGAATAAATGTCAGACCTGTGCTAGCAGGTGTCAAATATACAGAAAATAAATGTCAGACCTGTGCTAATACGTGTCAAATATACAGGGAATAAATGTCAGACCTGTGCTAGCAGGTGTCAAATATACAGAAAATAAATGTCAGACCTGTGCTAATACGTGTCAAATATACAGAGAATAAATGTCAGACCTGTGCTAGCAAGTGTCAAATATACAGAAAATAAATGTCAGACCTGTGCTAATTCGTGTCAAATATACAGAGAATAAATGTCAGACCTGTGCTAATACGTGTCAAATATACAGAGAATAAATGTCAGACCTGTGCTAATACGTGTCAAATATACAGAGAATAAATGTCAGACCTGTGCTAATACGTGCCAAATATACAGAAAATAAATGTCAGACCTCTGCTAATACGTGTCAAATATACAGAAAATAAAAGTCAGACCTGTGCTAATAGGTGTCAAATATACAGAGAATAAATGTCAGACCTGTGCTAATACGTGTCAAATATACAGAAAATAAATGTCAGACCTGTGCTAATACGTGTCAAATATACAGAGAATAAATGTCAGACCTGTGCTAATACGTGTCAAATATACAGAAAATAAATGTCAGACCTGTGCTAATACGTGTCAAATATACAGAAAATAAATGTCAGACCTGTGCTAATACGTGTCAAATATACAGAGAATAAATGTCAGACCTGTGCTAGCAAGTGTCAAATATACAGAAAATAAATGTCAGACCTGTGCTAATACGTGTCAAATATACAGAGAATAAATGTCAGACCTGTGCTAATATGTGTCAAATATACAGAAAATAAATGTCAGACCTGTGCTAATACGTGTCAAATATACAGAAAATAAATGTCAGACCTGTGCTAATACGTGTCAAATATACAGAAAATAAATGTCAGACCTGTGCTAATACGTGTCAAATATACAGAAAATAAATGTCAGACCTGTGCTAATACGTGTCAAATATACAGAAAATAAATGTCAGACCTGTGCTAATACGTGTCAAATATACAGAAAATAAATGTCAGACCTGTGCTAGCAAGTGTCAAATATACAGAAAATAAATGTCAGACCTGTGCTAGCAAGTGTCAAATATACAGAAAATAAATGTCAGACCTGTGCTAGCAAGTGTCAAATATACAGAGGAAAAATACTAGCCGCAGCCACAGTGTCAGGCTGTGACAGATGGAAGCCTCACCTCACTAGCTAGGCCATATGCCTTCCCGTATGGTAGTCACAGGTTTCAGTCTTAATCAAAGTGGAAATGTTAAAACATGACGCAGCCTAAAATGGGGTCCCTGTAGATACGGAGCTATCAACTATATGCCCAGTACGGCTCAAGCACGTGAAATGCGACATTTACTGGCTTGATACGACAAGTGGGACATCTACCGGCTTGATAATCCAACTGGGACATTTCCTAACTTGATAACCTAGCTGGGACGTTTACTGGCTTGATAATCCAGCTGGGACGTTTCCTGACTTGATAAGCTGAGACGTATGCTGGCTTGATATCCCAACTGGCAGATAACGCAACTGGCAGAAGAAAACAGATTGTGGGGACATCTTGTGTTAAATATATGTGGAAGCAGAAGATCACATTGTTAGCACATTTTGCAACAATGTTAGCACATCTTGTACCAATGTTTGCACATCTTGTACCAATGTTAGCACATCTTGTACCAATGTTAGCACATCTTGTACCAATGTTTGCACATCTTGTACCAATGTTAGCACATCTTGTACCAATGTTTGCACATCTTGTACCAATGTTAGCACATCTTGTACCAATGTTTGCACATCTTGTATCAATGTAAGCATATTATGTAGCTTGCATTCTGAATTTTCTTCCCTCCTAGATCTGTACAGCTTATTTGCTTCAGAGATTGGAGACAGGATGGGGAACTCTGCAGCACAGACCCCGTGGATATGATATTTTAACACTAGGTCAGGAGGAAACTCTCTACACAAACCTGATTCTGATAGGCGCAGTAGAATAGACACATCGCTCCCTAACAAACATGTCGTAAAAGGCGACTAAATAGGAAGTTTCCTTTGAAGTCAGAGTGCATCTGCATGAGAGGCAATTAATTAACAGTCTGTATATAAATAAGCCAGGTCTGTAAAACGGATTGAAAAACATGAACAGAGGAGACAGACAGAGCGAATGACACATAAACACTCTCAGCCAATTGACCTCAGGTCTTCTTATCCTTTGCTATTGCATGCAACACACGACATGTCTTCCATATCTTTTTAATTTGACTCCCAAATTCCCTTCTCCGAAATCTTTTTTAACCTGCTTTTATTTCTATGCCTCTGTGGGTTTCAGGGCAAAGTCATTCTAGTTATATTGCTCTCAGATTTTCTTAGCGTGTGCCTTATCCAATGCCAGCGCCTTTGTTTAAACACTGGATTTACTGTGTGTCATGTTTAATCCGGAACTGAGACACCCTGACAGTGGAGTGAGTGGAGTCTAGCAGACGACATTTCAAAGAAAGGTGCTTTTTCTACTGTTGGTTGATCACTTGCGGAATCTCGGCTCAGCTGTACCAGTTTTGTTTGCGAAGTACATGACACACGGGCACACTCAAGCCTGGACACAAAACCAACACTTCAGGAAGAATCACAGCCAAAACAAGAAAAAAAAAAAAAAAAGGATTAACAACCACAACTACAGCAACAACCACAACTACAGCAAAAGCCACAACGATAACTACCACAACAACCAACACCACAAGAACAACTACAACAACCACAACAACTGCAACTACCACAACAGCAACCACAACCACGACAATATCAAAATGAAACGCAAATACAGAAACAACCAAAATCAGAAGAGCCACAACAACCAAAAAAATAATCACACTAACCACAACAGCAACAACAACGATCACAACAACTGCTACAACCACAACAACACTACCTGTTTGTAGAAGTCGCTGACGCTGGCTCTGGGAGACGTGATGTTGCCGCTAGGCATGGAATCGAAGAAGTTGTTTTCTCTCATATTGCCCGGCGGAGCGTTACTATGGAAAATGATTTTTAGTTAACTTCATTTCAGACTGCCCGACATAGCGTTACTATGGAATATGACATTTAGTTAACTTTCTCTCAGACTGCGCGGCGGAGCGTTACTATGGAAAATGATATATGCTAGGCAGAGCGTTAGTGGGAAAGATTTTTATTTAGTTAACGTTTTCTTAGACTAGCCGGCGAAGCGTTTCTGTGGTAGATTATATTTAATTAACTTTTTTTTCAAATTACCCGGCAGAGCGTTAACATTGAAGATTATTCATGTTGACTTTCTCACAAAATGTCAAAAAAAACCGTTATAGCTGGATATTGCATTTAGTTGTCTCTCTCTTAGACTAGATCTCGAAGGGGTGCTGTAGAATATTAGATTTCGTTAACCGTCTCGCCAGATGTTTGTGCTTTCCACTGTGTGCTTTTGATAGTGTGGTCTGCTATTTCTGGTTTGGTATACTTAACTTTGTATGGGGTCATGCTTATTCATGGCTGAGATGAGGCAAACTGCATATAGTTAACGGTTACTGATGAACTAGCGTTGAGAATGATGCGGCCTTAGTGTAGAGGTTCACATGAGAACTTTCAGTGGCTGTCACTTTTATGTTGGTGGAACCATCTGAAGGACCACACCCAGTAAACGTTATGTTCTCTCCCTGGAAAGTAGGTCACCGGCCTAAAGGATTGGGAATAATTACTAGCTCATTCTAGAAGTGGAACCCAACATTACCATTCTGTAAATAAGTCACAATTCGGTTAAGCTGTTAGTTTGACATGAAACCTGCTAATAATCATGTCCTACACGAAATTTGTTTTTTAAATGTAAACAAACATCAAGTTTTCACTTTAACAAACATCACACTGCACGCATTTCACTTTCAGGTGGTCATCTCCAGCATTAGCTTCCCGTGAGTTATCAAACAAGTGGTCATCTCCAGCATTAGCTTCCCGTGAGTTATCAAACAAGTGGTCATCTCCAGCATTAGCTTCCCGTGAGTTATCAAACAAGTGGTCATCTCCGGCATTAGCTTCCCGTGAGTTATCAAACAGGTGGTCATCTCCGGCATTAGCTTCCCGTGAGTTATCAAACAAGTGGTCATCTCCAGCATTAGCTTCCCGTGAGTTATCAAACAGGTGGTCATCTCCGGCATTAGCTTCCCGTGAGTTATCAAAATAATCATCAGGCATGCTACACATGTGAACTAGTTGCCAAACATTCTTCAGGCGTGTGTGAATTATCGTATATTGTATCTTTCAGGGGTACACAAATTATTACTCAACAAAGATCAAAGAAATTAGCCGCTTTAGGAAAACAGCAGCAGCTATGAAGATGCAAATCAAAGACTCACCAGGACATGGGAAATCTACGGCCAGACGCAGGAGTACAGGAGTACAGAAGTACAGGAGTACATGAGTACAGGAGTTTTCCAGATATTTGGTCAAAGTGTGAGGACTCAACTTTTGGAAGGCACTATAGTGTCGTTGAGTTGTTGAATTAGTTAGTGCGCTTGCTCAGTGTAGTATTTAAGAAGACAATTTCAGACGAAAACTTCAGAATCCTTTAATCTTTCAACGGAGAACAGTTCCTCAGTCGCTCTTTGAGCCGACTTCATCATTTGTATTATCTTGCAATTAAAGTTTTGTTAATTAGCCAGGATCACACCAATCCTCCGTAGCTGGCTCATACGACACGTCTGATAAGCTGCTCACTTACAGTCGTGGTAGACTCTCCCAAACACACACACATGATAAGCTACTCAGACACACACACACACATGATGAGCTACTCCCACACACACATGGCATGCTACTCTCACATACACATGGTTAATTACTCCCACACACACACACACACACACACACACGATGAGCTACTCCCACACACACACATAGTAAGCTCCTTCCCCCCCCCACACACATGATAAGCTACTCCCACACACACACACACATGATAAGCTACTCCCACACACACATGATAACCTACTCCCCCCACACACATGATGAGCTACTCCCCCCCACACACACACACACGTGATAAGCTACTCCCACACACACACACACATTATGAGCTACTCCCACACACACATGGCATGCTACTTCCACATACACATGGTAAATTACTCCCACACACACACACACTCACACACACACACACACACACACACACACACAGACACACAGACACACGGTATTCTACTCACACACACACACATGTCTGTGACTAAACAAATGATGTACCTTTTATTGTTGGGCGAGTCGTCGAACCTGGGAGCCCACTGTTTGACGTTCTTGTGGAGACTGTCCATGCTGACAGCGTCAATGACTTTCAGAAGTTCTGCAGACGCGTTCCCTCTCTGTTGATAGGGGTCATGTATGGTTACTGTCTCATTGTCAGGTTACTGTCTCATTGTTAGGTTACTGTCTCATTATTAGGTTACTGTCTCATTGTGAGGTTACTGTCCGTTTGGAAGGTTACTGTCTTATTCTGAGGTTTCTGTATCTTTGGGAGGTTATTGTCTCATCGAGAGGTTGCTGTCTCATTGTGATGTGTCTGTCTGATTCTCAGGTTACAGTCTCATTGTGATGTGTCTGTCTGATTCTCAGGTTACAGTCTCATTGTGATGTGTCTGTCTGATTCTCAGGTTACAGTCTCATTGTGATGTGTCTGTCTGATTCACAGGTTACAGTCTCATTGTCGGGATACTATCTTATAGTCAGTTTACTGTCTTATTGTTAGGCTACCCTCCACCCCTCCCCCACACACATATACACGGTAAGCTACTCCCAAACACACACATGGAAAGTTACTCCCACACACACACACATGGAAAGCTACTCCCACACACACACACATGGAAAGTTACTCCCACACACACACACATGGAAAGTTACTCCCACACACACACACATGGAAAGCTACTCCCACACACACACATGGAAAGCTACTCCCACACACACACACACACACGGAAAGTTACTCCCACACACACACACATGGAAAGCTACTCCCACACACACACACATGGAAAGCTACTCCCACACACACACACATGGAAAGTTACTCCCACACACACACACATGGAAAGCTACTCCCACACACACACATGGAAAGCTACTCCCACACACACACATGGAAAGTTACTCCCACACACACACATGGAAAGCTACTCCCACACACACACACATGGAAAGCTACTCCCACACACACACACATGGAAAGCTACTCCCACACATACATGAGAAGCTACTCCCCCTTACACAAATGGTAGGCTGCTCCCACATACACACGTTAGACATTCTTGTGGAGACTGTCCATGCTGACAGAATCAATAACATAACATAAACGTCTCATTGTCTCATTGTCTCATTGTCTCGTTGTCTAATTTGTCTCATTGTCTCATTGTCTCATTGTCTCATTGTGAGGTGATAAGATTTTATGTGTGCCCTGACTAATACGTTGCTTAAGTGGATCTGTATTCCTGCCTAAGGTTGTCATAACACTAGGGAGGTACTGAAGGAGTCAGATACCTGCCACAGAGATTAGGACACTGATTGATCAGTGTTCACACCCAGAAGACGTCCTCATTTACACAGATGGATCCGTGAAGCGCGGGACAAGATCAACGTGGGTCCACACAGCGCAAAGAAGGGGGGGGGGGGAATTGCGGCAGTACATCGACGACTACATCAAGCGTGACCATAGAGATACAAGCTTTTTTTTTTTACCCTACCCCCTACCCCTCCCTCACCCCAAAACCCTGTTCCCAGGCCTCCTGTTGTTGCCTCAGCGCATGTTTGCATGGAGGTAAAGATCTTCTGTGTGCCTTGTCTAATACTTTGCTTAAGTTGATCTGCATTTCTGTTCTTGATACCATGGCTCTATATTTTGCGTGGTATCCCCCTTATTCTGTGTCTCTTACACTTCTTCGGCGTGACTCTCTATGCCAGTTGTTACCAGGACATTCGGGTCAGATGACTAACCCCTCTTGTGTCTTGTTCTTTAATGAACTGTATAAATGTTTTCAGTTTTGGCGTCTTCTAGTGTCTTCATTCTGATTTTATCTTTCCTGTCGAATTCGGTAGTTTCAGAGTCTGTTGTGCTAGCATCATATATCCATTAGGGTTCAAAGCTTGGAAACTAAAAAATTAATTTGTTCAGATGATCTTCCTGTAGCCAGCACAGTTGTCTGTCGATCCGTCTTCTTCGCATTCACCGGCTGCAAACTTTAGTGGAAAGTTCTGGTTTTTCGTCCACTTCAGGAGTCTAGCCCTGTCCCAAAACCTAATTTTTGCGTGCACATCTGTTTTACAAATTGAACTATTTTGCAAGCAGCTACCTACGGTCCGACTTCAAAGGAAGTGAGTCTATTCTAGACCCCCCCCCCCCCCCCCCAATCCCAGGATGGGTCCGGAAACTCACATGGGAGTCTGCCCATCCGGTTGTCAAGTATTAAAATTTTTCTAGAGGCGATTTTCTATTTGAGTCCATTATGGTAACTGGAGTACAAATCTACCCAACAGGTGCAAGAGCTGTTGACTGGAAACAAACAATTTACACAACATGAGGTCCGAACATCCACATTCAGCCAAATTAGTTCTGATGGGACTGCATACATTTGAGGTCACTGGCCCAGCGATTGCTGGAATCACTTCAGTAAAGTCTGTTTGGGAATGAGGTACAACTGAACCATGGCCTCGCTCAGATTTCCTTGTGGCTCACCCAGGATTTCGCTTATCAATGTAAGAGATAGCAAAACAAGGCAATAAGTCATGGCGGCAGTATGTGGTACCCGAGCAACCTGTGGAATATTGTACTACCACCACTACCATAATGTTCCTACCACTACAACCAGCACTACTACAACTGCAGCATATATTAGTACGCCTATTATTGTTGCACTAACTACTACAACGAAGACAACATCTGGCGATGATACCAATGCTTAGGAACAGAGTCACAGCTACCACTGGAACTTGTGCTACTGTACTGACTTTGAACATTTTCACTATTAGCCATTATTGCTAATTATCGCTACAACATGAACTCTGACCTGTGACCATCGCATAGCATTAACATTGCAAAATGTGATGGCGGGGAAATCCAAAGTATCGAATCCTAGCGAGATCTGTGTGTGTTTTCCGTAGGAGAAATATGACGCGAACAGCCTGTAGAGAAAATGTGTAGCAGATTTATGACGCAAACAGCCTGTAGAAAAAATGTATAGCAGAATTATGGCGCAAACAGCATGAAGAGAAAATGTATAGCAGAATTATGACGCAAACAGCCTGTAGAGAACATTTAGCAGAAATATGAAACGAACAGCCTGTAGAGAACATATAGGACACATCTGTCGTGAATAGCCTATAGAAAATATATATCAGAAATATGAAACGAACAGTCTGTAGAGAACATATATAGGAGAAATATGATCTGATTAGCATATAGAGAACATTTTTACGAGAAAAATGATCTGGACAGCCCGCAGAGAACATATGTAGGAGAAATATGATTTGAATAGCCTGAAGACAACATTTGTAGGAGAAATATGATTTGAACAGCCTGAAGAGAACATTTGTAGGAGAAATATGATTTGAACAGCCTGTAAAGAACAAATGTAGGAGAAATATGATTTGAACAGCCCGTAGAGAACATATGTAGGAGAAATATGATTTAAACAGCCCGTAGAGAACGGATTAGGTCAATGTTTTATAAATGTTGAGCCTACATAATTTATTGTAATATTAGAAGTTGTACAAAATGTTGTACCATTTGTACATATAACATTTTCGAAATTGTCTGTCTGAATGTAAACACTGAATTTGTGCAATGTGGCAGACAATTTCCTGTGTGGCTTAGCAGTGATATTCCTCTATGATGAGTGCAATCTTTCTGACTGCCTTTGTTCCCACATATTACTATAATTGTTCACATTCGTCAGTCATCTCAAGTTCTATGGTCTAGACAGGAGACATGGAAAATACTTCTACTATTTGACTCCTCTTTCTGCAACTGTTTTGATGTCCTCTGAGGACTGATCAACAACTGCTGTCACTTTATGCTTTGTTGCAATATTTTTTTTTTTCGTTTTCTTCTTCTGCTAATAATAGAGCCCCCCCCCCCCCCGCCCCCCCACCCCTAATCTGGTTGTCTTCAATTAAATAAAATATCTATGGTCAATTTTCACATCAAGTATTATCTGGTAGTCGCATTCTTCACGCGAGGAAAAGGGGGGAGAAAGGAAAAGGGGGGGGGGGGGTGGGACTGTACTATCGGCTCAGAACATTCAAGAAACAACTTGAGACTGTGTCCCCGTAGCACCGCAATTCATTAGTGAAACAATCTATTACCCAACTTGAGACTGTGTCCACGTATCACTGCAAGTCATTAGTGAAACAATCTATTACCCAACTTGAGACTGTGTCCACGTAGCACCGCAATTCATTAGTGAAACAATCTATTACCCAACTTGAGACTGTGTCCACGTATCACTGCAAGTCATTAGTGAAACAATCTATTAACCAACTTGAGACTGTGTCCACGTAGCACCGCAAGTCATTAGTGAAACAATCTATTACCCAACTCTAGACTGTGTCCACGTAGCACCGCAAGTCATTAGTGAAACAATCTATTACCCAACTTGAGACTGTGTCCACGTATCACTGCAAGTCATTAGTGAAACAATCTATTAACCAACTTGAGACTGTGTCCACGTAGCACCGCAAGTCATTAGTGAAACAATCTATTATCCAACTCTAGACTGTGTCCACGTAGCACCGCAATTCATTAGTGAAACAATCTATTACCCAACTTGAGACTGTGTCCACGTAGCACCGCAATTCATTAGTGAAACAATCTATTACCCAACTTGAGACTGTGTCCACGTAGCACCGCAAGTCATTAGTGAAACAATCTATTACCCAACTTGAGACTGTGTCCACGTAGCACCGCAATTCATTAGTGAAACAATCTATTACCTTGAGACTGTGTCCACGTAGCACTATTCATTCAACTTGAGACTGTGTCCACGTAGCACCGCAATTCATTAGTGAAACAATCTATTACCCAACTTGAGACGTGTCCACGTAGCACCGCAAGTCATTAGTGAAACAATCTATTACCCAACTTGAGACTGTGTCCACGTAGCACGGCAAGTTCATTAGTGAAACAATCTAGGAACAGACTGTTAATAACTCGCAAGTCACTGTGAAACCTCTATTAACCAACATGAGACTGTGTCCACAGTAGCACCGCAAGTCATTAGTGAAACTTATTAACCAACTTGAGACTGTGTCCACGTAGCACCGCAAGTCATTAGTGAAACAATCTATTAACCAACTTGAGACCAGTGGTGCGCTCACACAGATTCTTGGCGTTTCTGATGTAAGGCACTCCAACGAGGGAACACTTGTCCGAGTACTCCAGGAAGACGCTGGACAGCCCATGTCTGGAGCTTGTGGTCGAGTCTGTCTTCTGGCTGCTGCTGATCGAGTTGTCTCGGCTGTTGTTGTTGTGCAGTGGCTTCACATCGATCATCTGTCTAGGCACCTTCTGGTTTCAATAGAATGTGTTATATGATGTTATTTACGTTTAGCTTATATTCTTCACATGTAAACTACACAAATAGACAGGCACACACTAATAACTCTACACAAACAAATTACTGTTTCACATATGAAACAGACTAAACAACTCTTCTCTAAAACGTCTCAGAAATCAGAAACATATGTCAACCACCAACAATAGAAACCATGACATATTTAAAAAAATGTGTGCAGTAAATCAGGAGGCTCTTCTGGCAGTGTTGAAACGTCGCAAGGTAGTGCAGTGTTGAAACGTCGCAAGGTAGTGCAGTGTTGAAACGTCGCTAGGTAGTGCAGTGTTGAAACGTCGCTAGGTAGTGCAGTGTTGAAACGTCGCTAGGTAGTTGGGTTCGGACAGGAGACATAAAGCGATTCCAAGGACCGTACTTGCAAGGAACATTGGGGAGGGGTTATTGTCGAAGAAATTGAGGGGCAATGCAAGTAAAATTATTAAAAAAAGAGGGGCTGAATGAGAATACATCATTAAAAAAAGTGGAAGCCAGAGGACTATAATTTGCGTTCACTAAGTGGAAGCCAGAGGAAAAAAGACTAAGGGTTTTGTGTGCAAGTGCTTCCATCGATACACCTCCACCACCCTTGAGAGTCCATGGTTTAAAGATGTGAATATGAACCACATGGAGCAAAACTGTTCTCACAGCAACAACAAACCTGGTAGTGTCACATGATTTCTCCGAACTTTGTCAGTGTTCTTATGTCCTCCAACGTTGTCAGTGTTCTAATGCCCTTTAACTTGACATCTGACAAAGTTGTCAGTGTTCTAATGCCCTTAACTTGACATCTGACAACGTTGTCAGTGTTCTAATGCCCTCAACTTGACATCTGACAACGTTGTCAGTGTTCTAATGCCCTTAACTTGACATCTGACAACGTTGTCAGTGTTCTAACGCCCTCAACTTGACATCTGACAACGTTGTCAGTGTTCTAACGCCCTCAACTTGACATCTGACAACGTTGTCAGTGTTCTAATGCCCATACCTTGACATCTGACAACGTTGTCAGTGTTCTAACGCCCTTAACTTGACATCTGACAACGTTGTCAGTGTTCTAACGCCCTTGACATCTGACAACGTTGTCAGTGTTCTAATGCCCTCAACTTGACATCTGACAACGTTGTCAGTGTTCTAATGCCCATACCTTGACATCTGACAACGTTGTCAGTGTTCTAACGCCCTTAACTTGACATCTGACAACGTTGTCAGTGTTCTAACGCCCTTGACATCTGACAACGTTGTCAGTGTTCTAACACCCTCAACTTGACATCTGACAACGTTGTCAGTGTTCTAATGCCCTTAACTTGACATCTGACAACGTTGTCAGTGTTCTAACGCCCTCAACTTGACATCTGACAACGTTGTCAGTGTTCTAATGCCCATACCTTGACTTCTGACAACGTTGTCAGTGTTCTAATGCCCTTAACTTGACTTCTGACAACGTTGTCAGTGTTCTAATGCCCTTAACTTGACATCTGACAACGTTGTCAGTGTTCTAATTCCCATACCTTGACATCTGACAACGTTGTCAGTGTTCTAATGCCCTCACCTTGACATCTGACAACGTTGTTTGTGTTCTAACGGGCTTAACTTGACATCTGACAACGTTGTCAGTGTTCTAACGCCCTTAACTTGACATCTGACAACGTTGTCAGTGTTCTAACGCCCTTAACTTGACATCTGACAACGTTGTCAGTGTTCTAATGCCCTTAACTTGACATCTGACAACGTTGTCAGTGTTCTAATGCCCATACCTTGACATCTGCCAACGTTGTCAGTGTTCTAACGCCCTTAACTTGACTTCTATCAACGTTGTCAGTGTTCTAATGCCCTTAACTTGACATTTGACAACGTTGTCAGTGTTCTAATGAACTTAACTTGACATCTGACAACGTTGTCAGTGTTCTAACGCCCATAACGTGACATCTGAAAACGTTGTCAGTGTTCTAACGGGCTTAACTTGACATTTGACAACGTTGTCAGTGTTCTAACGCCCTTAACTTGACATTTGACAACGTTGTCAGTGTTCTAATGGACTTAACTTGACATTTGACAACGTTGTCAGTGTTCTAACGCCCTTAAGTTGACTTCTATCAACGTTGTCAGTGTTCTAATGGACTTAACTTGACATCTGACAACGTTGTCAGTGTTCTAATGGACTTAACTTGACATCTGACAACGTTGTCAGTGTTCTAATGGACTTAACTTGACATCTGACAACTTTGTCAGTGTTCTAATGCCCTTAACTTGACTTCTATCAACGTTGTCAGTGTTCTAATGCCCTTAAGTTGACAACTGACACCTCACATCTGTCACTTTAAAAAGGTCACACACATATATATGTCTAGAGCATTGTTGAAAGCCGCTTAACTGTATGAAACTGTTCAACACCACATAACTGTATGTAACTGTTTAACGCCACATAACTGTATGTAACTGTTTAACGCCACATAACTGTATGTAACTGTTCAACGCCACATAACTGTATGTAACTGTTCAACGCCACATAAATGTATGTAACTGTTCAACGCCACATAACTATATGTAACTGTCAACGCCACATAACTGTATGTAACTGTTTAACGCCAGATAACTGTATGTAACTGTTCAACGCCACATAACTGTATGTAACTGTTTAACGCCACATAACTGTATGTAACTGTTCAACGCCACATAAATGTATGTAACTGTTTAACGCCACATAACTGTATGTAACTGTTCAACGCCACATAACTGTATGTAACTGTTTAACGCCACATAACTGTATGTAACTGTTTAACGCCACATAACTGTATGTAACTGTTTAACGCCACATAACTGTATGTAACTGTTTAACGCCACATAACTGTGTGTAACTGTTTAACGCCACATAACTGTATGTAACTGTTCAACGCCACATAACTGTATGTAACTGTTCAACGCCACATAACATTTTTTGACAACACTGACATTGCTGAAAACCACAATCTGTATTTCTGGACACATTACCATTCCATCTGCTCAGTTATGGCCGACACGACTGTTCCAAAACTAAACTAAATAAAATATTTCCTCGAGACTTTCAAACCAAATCAATTTATGTTTCCGCCAGCCGGTTTAAAACCAAATGAACATGCTTCATCTAGAACCGGGCAGTCAGTCAGTGATCTCTGTGTTGAGCCCGCCCGTCGAGAGATGTCAGATTCCCGTGAGGGCCGCTGTAATCAGCCCCAGGTACACACCAAGATTTGATCAAACTATTTCTTGTTTAGTATTGTTGTCCTGTCTGTGATCAGAGCGCCATCCTTCGTCCGATAACTCAATAATTGCGCTTCCGTGATGGGATATTGATCTTATCTTCCACATGTCTGGTCAAGCGTGGTGGGGAGAAACAGATCGTGGTCCATGTCTCGATTAGGTGGGGGGGGGGGGGAGAAAAAGGGGGGGGGGGTTTGTTATTGTAATTATGAAAACGGATATAAACGTCAATCCATCCTCTTCTTGTCGTCATGTTACTTACCTGTCACATCTTTTGATATTTAGTTTCTGTCTTGGGAAATGATGCTCCTCTGTTTAAAAGACATCCGCAAAATGTTTCGATCGTGTGTGTACAGAATCTCGTACTGAGCAGCTCATGTTGTCACAATCTTCCTGATCGTTTCTAACTCGGTGTTGTGTGTACATATTGTACACGGCAATTGATGTTGTTTCTACAGTCTGCTCGTTTCTCCCTTGATCTTGCATAGTTACATATCAATTCAAATATGGATTCTGCAAGTCTTTGATCGTGTCCAAGTCTGACACTGATACTAGTTCATATGCACACGTTTATTACAATCTGTTAAATTTTATGTTTTGGCATTTACAATGCAGGCGAAGCGAGCTCTTCTTCGAGAGAAAGACATGCTTAGCCTATCTCTGTACTGGGCCATCAGAGCAACAACCGTCACAGTGCACCGATCACGCGAAGTTTCTACGCCAGCATACGGGGATCAAACGTGGAGCATATAGATCCCAAAGTTTCCTGCATACACATCGCACTCAAGATTATAGACAATTTAATGGCAAGAGAGGTGGACAATGTGCTGGCCATACAGGTGAACAATGTGCTGGCCATACAGGTGGACAATGTGCTGGCCATACAGGTGGACAATGTGCTGGCCATACAGGTGGATAATGTGCTGGCCATACAGGTGAACAATGTGCTGGCCATACAGGTGGACAATGTGCTGGCCATACAGGTGGATAATGTGCTGGCCATACAGGTGAACAATGTGCTGGCCATACAGGTGGACAATGTGCTGGCCATACAGGTGAACAATGTGCTGGCCATACAGGTGGACAATGTGCTGGCCATACAGGTGGATAATGTGCTGGCCATACAGGTGAACAATGTGCTGGCCATACAGGTGGACAATGTGCTGGTCATACAGGTGGATAATGTGCTGGCCATACAGGTGGATAATGTGCTCGCCATACAGGTGGATAATGTGCTGGCCATACAGGTGGATAATGTGCTGGTCATACAGGTAGATAATGTGCTGGCCATACAGGTGGATAATGTGCTGGCCATACAGGTGGACAATGTGCTGGCCATACAGATGGATAATGTGCTGGCCATACAGGTGGACAATGTGCTGGTCAGACAGGTGGACAATGTGCTGGTCAGACAGGTGGACAATGTGCTGGTCAGACAGGAGGACAATGTGCTGGTCATACAGGTGGACAATGTGCTGGTCATACAGGTGGACAATGTGCTGGTCCTAGAGGTGGACAATGTGCTGGTCCTAGAGGTGGACAATGTGCTGGTCCTAGAGGTGGACAATGTGCTGGTCCTAGAGGTGGACAATGTGCTGGTCCTAGAGGTGGACAATGTGCTGGTCCTAGAGGTGGACAATGTGCTGGTCCTAGAGGTGGACAATGTGCTGGTTCTAGAGGTGGACAATGTGGAGGATGGTCCTAGAGGTGGACAATGTGCTGTCATACAGGAGGATCTGTCTACAGGAGGATAATGTGCTGTCATACAGGAGGATAATGTGCTGTCATACAGGAGGATAATGTGCTGTCATACAGGAGGATAATGTGCTGGTCATACAGGAGGACAATGTGCTGTCATACAGGAGGATAATGTGCTGGTCATACAGGTGGACAATGTGCTGGTCATACAGGAGGATAATGTGCTGTCATACAGGAGGATACATGTGTGCTGGTCATACAGGAGGATAATGTTGCTGTCATACAGTGAGGATAAGGTGTGTGCTGGTCATACAGGTGGATAATGTGCTGGGTCATACAGGTGGATAATGTGCTGGTCATACAGGAGGATAATGTGCTGGACAATGTGCTGGTCATACAGGAGGATAATGTGCTGGTCATACAGGTGGACAGGTCATACAGGTGGACAATGTGCTGGCCATCATAATGTGCTGGCAGGTGGACAATGTGCTGGTCATACAGGTGGACAATGTGCTGGTCACAGGTGGACAATGTGCTGGTCATACAGGCGGACAATGTGCTGGCCATACAGGTGGACAATGTGCTGGGTCACAGTGCTGGTCATACAATGTGTGCTGGTCATACAGGTGGACAATGTGCTGGTCATACAGGTGGACAATGTGCTGTCATACAGGTGGACAATGTGCTGGTCATACAGGTGGATACAATGTGCTGGTCATACAGGTGGACAATGTGCTGGTCATACAGGTGGACAATGTGCTGGTCATACAGGTGGATAATGTGCTGGTCATACAGGTGGACAATGTGCTGGTCATACAGGTGGACAATGTGCTGGTCATACAGGTGGACAATGTGCTGGTCATACAGGTGGACAATGTGCTGGTCCAATGTGCTGGTCATACAGGTGGATGTGCTGGTCATATGTGGACTGGGTCATGACAGGTGGACAATGTGCTGGTCATACAGGTGGACAATGTGCTGGTCATACAGGTCAATGTGCTGGTCCTAGAGACAATGTGCTGGTCATACAGGTGGACAATGTGCTGGTCCTAGGTGGACATGTGCTGGTCCTACAGGTGGACAGTGCTGGATAATGTGCTGGTCATACAGGTGCTGGTCATAAGGTGTGTGCTGGTCATACAGGACAATGGAGGGGTGGACAATGTGCTGGTCATACAGGTGGACAATGTGCTGGTCATACAGGTGGACAATGTGCTGGTCATACAGACATGTGCTGAACAAGTGGACAATGTGCTGGTCATACAGGTGGACAATGTGCTGGTCATACAGGTGGACAATGTGCTGGTCATACAGGTGGACAATGTGCTGGTCATGGACAATATGCTGGGGTGACAATGTGCTGGTCATACAGGTGGACAATGTGCTGGTCATACAGGGTCCTAGAGGTGGACAATGTGCTGGTCATACAGGTCCTGAGACAATGTGCTGGTCATACAGGTGGACAATGTGCTGGTCAGAGGTGGACAATGTGCTGGTCCTACAATGTGCTGGATACAACAATGTGCTGGTCATACAGGTGGATAATGTGCTGGTCCTAGAGGTGGACAATGTGCTGGTCATACAGGTGGACAATGTGCTGGTCATATAGGTGGACAATGTGCTGGTCATACAGGTGGACAATGTGCTGGTCATACAGGTGGACAATGTGCTGGTCATACAGGTGGACAATGTGCTGGTCATACAGGTGAACAATGTGCTGGTCATACAGGTGGACAATGTGCTGGTCCTACAGGTGGACAATGTGCTGGTCATACAGGTGGACAATGTGCTGGTCATACAGGTGAACAATGTGCTGCAATGGAACAATGTGCTGGTATAGGTGGACAATGTGCTGGTCCTACAGGTGGACAATGTGCTGGTCATACAGGTGGACAATGTGCTGGTCATAGGTGGATAATGTGCTGGTCATACAGTGGACAATGTGCTGGTCATACAGGTGGACAATGTGGTCATACAGGTCATGTGCTGGTCAGACAGGTGGACAATGTGCTGGTCATACAGGTGGACAATGTGGACAATGTGCTGGTCATACAGGTGGACAATGTGCTGGTCCTAGAATGGTGGTCACACATGTGCTGGTCCTAGAGGTGGACAATGTGCTGGTCATACAGGTGGACAATGTGGTCTGGTCAATGTGCTACAGGTGTGACAATGTGCTGGTCATACATACAGTGTGGACAATGTGCTGGTCATAGGTGGACAGGTGGATACAGGTGTGTGCTGGTCCTACAGGTGGACAATGTGCTGGTCATACAGGTGGACAGGTGAATACATGTGCTGGTCATACAGGTGGACAATGTGCTGGTCATACAGGTGGACAATGTGCTGGTCATACAGGTAATGTGCTGGTCAGGTGGACAATGTGCTGGTCATACAGGTGGACAATGTGCTGGTCATACAGGTGGACAATGTGCTGGTCATACAGGTGGACAATGTGCTGGTCCTACAGGTGGACAATGTGCTGGTCATACAGGTGGACAATGTGCTGGTCCTAGAGGTGGACAATGTGCTGGTCATACAGGTGGACAATGTGCTGGTCATACAGGTGGACAATGTGCTGGTCATACAGGTGAACAATGTGCTGGTCCTAGAGGTGGACAATGTGCTGGTCCTAGAGGTGGACAATGTGCTGGTCCTAGAGGTGGACAATGTGCTGGTCCTACAGGTGGACAATGTGCTGGTCATACAGGTGGACAATGTGCTGGTCATACAGGTGGACAATGTGCTGGTCATACAGGTGGACAATGTGCTGGTCCTACAGGTGGACAATGTGCTGGTCCTAGAGGTGGACAATGTGCTGGTCATACAGGTGGACAATGTGCTGGTCATACAGGTGGATAATGTGCTGGTCATACAGGTGGAAAATACGCTGGTCATACAGGTGGACAATGTGCTGGTCCTAGAGGTGGACAATATGCTGGTCATACAGGTGAACAATGTGCTGGTCATAGAGGTGGACAATGTGCTGGTCCTAGAGGTGGACAATGTGCTGGCCCTAGAGGTGGACAATGTGCTGGTCCTTGAGGTGGACAATGTGCTGGTCATACAGGTGGACAATGTGCTGGTCATACAGGTGGATAATGTGCTGGTCATACAGGTGGACAATGTGCTGGTCATACAGGTGGACAATGTGCTGGTCATACAGGTGGACAATGTGCTGGTCCTATACAATGGCTGGTCATACAGGACAATGTGCTGGTCATATAGGTGGACAGTGTGGACAATGTGCTGAGGTCATACAGGTGGACAATGTGCTGGTCATACAGGTGGACAATGTGCTGGTCATACAGGTGGACAATGCTGGCCATACAGGTGGACAATACAGGTGGACAATGTGCTGGTTATACTGTGTGTCATACAGGTGGACAATGTGCTGGTCATACAGGTGGACAATGTGCTGGTCATACAGGTGGACAATGTGCTGGTTAGACATTTGGACAATGTGCTGGTTATACAGGTGGACAATGTGCTGGTCATACAGGTGGACAATGTGCTAGTCATACAGGTGGATAATGTGCTGGCCCTAGAGGTGGATAATGTGCTGGCCCTACAGGTGGATAATGTGCTGGCCCTACATTTGGATAATGTGCTGGCCATAAAGGAAGACAGTGTGCTCACTAGCCAGGAGGACAATGTCCTGGTCAGACAGGACGGCAATGTGCTCACTGGATAGGAGGACAATTTGCTGGCCAGACATGAGGGCCATGTGTTGGACAACCAGGAAGACAAGCAGATATTTCGAAAAACTAATTCGCCAATGAAGAAAACAGGCTACAGTGACAAACGCACCTGAGAAACATAATGTTATAGGGCCCTGTAAACTACCTGGCAATATTGGCAGGAAAATCATGGGGGGGGGGCGGGAGGATAAACTGGGCAGCAGAGGAGAAAGTTACATCTATCAATAGCAGCAGAAACAATCAGTATAGCACACTGATCTATTCTTTGTTCTTGAGATAGTATAGCACACTGATGTATTGTTTGTTCTTGAGACAATCAGTATAGCACACTGATCTATTCTTTGTTCTTAAGATAGTATAGCACACTGATGTATTGTTTGTTCTTGAGACAATCAGTATAGCACACTGATCTATTCTTTGTTCTTGAGATAGTATAGGACACTGATGTATTGTTTGTTCTTGAGATGGTATAGCACACTGATCTATTGTTTGTTCTTGCGACAGTATAGCACACTAAAATATTGTTATTTCTTGACACAGTTATTATAGCACACTTATCTATTGTTTGTTCTTGAGACAATCAGTATGGCACATTGATCTATTGTTTGTTTTTGAGACAATAAATATATCAGATCATTTGGTTTATTTCTAGTCGCTGCGGTAGCCTATTAGAACATTTGGCGTACCTGGACAACCAAGTGGCAAGCTTACGGTTGGTTTATTGGACACATCTTAGACCTTGCTGGCAAAATGGCAGAGGGACACCGGCAGACAATTAGGACACGGTGGACTTTCAGGGATAAGACTTTCTTTTCCACTAGATAACCGAATCAGCCAACCGAGGCCGGTACCCAACGACGTTCCGTTGTGTCCAGAGCCAGCTCGAGGCCCTCCGAGCGGCCTCAGCCAGTTGTTTAAGTGATCATTTGCACTCATTTCCTAGCAAGCCCAGCTGTTTTATTACATTGAACATTGAAGTGGGAATGAGACGTCTTGCGCCTACCTCGACGGCGAAGATACTTACAGTGTACGCTTCATCAAACTAAAGGGACAAGTAGAAGGAAAGCGAGAAAGAGGTTGACAGTCACACTAAAGGGACAAGTGAAAGGTCAGCTAGGTAAAGGGTCACCGTGATAACAGTTAAAGTTACCCGAAAGTTTGGGTGATACCTGCCGTTTGGTGTGCAGACGCAGTCACCAAAATAAGAGTGTAATCAAATGTTGTGTGTATGCGTGCGTGTGCGTGCGCGCGTGAGTGTGTGTGTGTGAGTGTGTTTTTCCAAACCTAACTACAAACAGGGAACCTTGTTTATCGGTTGACTGATTTCACATTTCCAAAATACCCACACACACAAAAAAAATTGTGAAATCAGGGAGAGTAGCGAAAACACGGAGAGTTGGCTGGCTTGAATAAACACACCGACAAGCAGACAAAACAATCCATTTGTCTGGAACTACATGATCTCGGTATAAATAATGCATGCTACACGTTAAACTGACATGGTCAGACAACTGTGCGCCGCAGACTACAGTAGAACTGACGCACAAAAACTCCCACATAAAACAATCAAAACATTTAACTGACGGGGAAAATGTAAAGACTGGAGGCGCAATAGTTCATTTATCTGCTGGCTAAACATGCGACAACATCGATAGCCTGCAGATGCCAGCATCAGTCGTTTGTGTTGATCATCTCCCGAAGGCATCGATGGAGCAGAAACGATCGCTACGACTGAATATTGGCAAACATGTGATCAAACATTGACACCGTTCCCAATCGTGGTTAATATCAGAAACAATGTTTGGTCAGTTGTTGAAATAATGGGCTCGCGTTGCCGTTTTTCGACTGGAACTGTGTGAGATCGCTAAGACAACAGTGACAATAGAAAACAGTGTCGTGTGGTGACTTGTGGGTGAGCACTGGTTGCTGGTTCTACTTGTGGGTAGAACTGGATGCTGGTAAAATAAAAGTGCACCCGTGGGTCAGTACCGGGTGCGAACTTTACTCGTGGCTCAGTACCAAGTTACTGGACTTGTGGCTCAGTACCAGATGTACTGGACTTGTGGCTCAGTACCAGATGTACTGGACTTGTGGCCCAGTACCAGGTGTATTAGACTTGTGGCTCAGTACCGGGTGTACTAGACTTGTGGCTCAGTACCGGGTGTACTAGACTTGTGGCTCAGTACCGGGTGTACTGGACTTGTGGCTCAGTACCAGGTGTATTAGACTTGTGGCTCAGTACCAGGTGTATTAGACTTGTGGCACAGTACCAGGTGTACTGACTTGTGGCTCAGTACCAAGTGTACTGGACTTGTGGCCCAGTACCAGGTGTATTAGACTTGTGGCTCAGTACCGGGTGTACTGGACTTGTGGCTCAGTACCAGGTGTATTAGACTTGTGGCACAGTACCAGGTGTACTGACTTGTGGCTCAGTACCAGGTGTACTGGACTTGTGGCCCAGTACCAGGTGTATTAGACTTGTGGCTCAGT